TGCGCCAAGAGTGAATAGCGACTAAATAGAGCGGGTGTCAGTTGACAACCCCCCTTTTATTTACAATGCAGTTGCGTGATGTCCACCACTTTCTGAACGATATATATGTCTTTAGCGCTAAATGGGTTAACACCCACCCACACACCGGACAGACTGGATATACACACATTATTCAAACTAAACTTACAACAGCTTCTGTGGTAGGGAATGGCTGGAGGTCGCGAGGCTTGGGTAGCTTCGGGATAAGGTCTTCCGGATCGACGTTGAGCTACACATGAAAGAAAAACACGTGCATTCCGTAACGGGGGAGGATTGTAAAAGGATCCAAAAGGCTGAGCCTAGTTTCCCAACACCAAGAATCGAAAAGCAAATGCAACAGAAAAAGAAAATAGAAATTGAACAATACATGTACAAGAAAGGCATCGATCTCTGTACATAGCTATGCCACAACCTACTCTGGATTTGCGCTGCCGTGGACATAAGTACAGGTCAAGACAACGGTCGAATCGCTCTGTTATGAAGTTCCTGTAGGCTGGCACTGAACGCAAATTGGAGAACCTGGAGCAAGGAGACAGAGAGAGAAAGAGAGAGAAATTAAAAAAAACCTTCGTGGAGACAAGAAAGATATGAACACAAAGCCTGGCCAATGGTGTGTGTATAATCAGTGCGCAATGGCGCGCGCGTGTGTGTGTGCGTGTGTGTGTGATCAATGATCTGTAAGCCCATCTTCCAGGCCTACATCAAAACACAATGTTCTCGTTAACACAACAAGAACAAGAACAACAGCTACAGCTACACCGCCACCACCACCACCAGCAGTAGTAGCCATGGTCATAGGCAAATGCTTGCAGTAAAGGGATCTAATACGGAAAACTTACTCCTGTGGTAAGAAGTTCTGCTTTCGATCCTCCACATCGGTGTCCTTCCACTTTTGAATCTACAATCAGTCACACATAAACATTTACTCAGAATTCGCCAAACACCAGGCATGTTTGTTCTCAGCTATTTCTGGTCCTGGCTTCTATTCCTATTCTTATTTCTATTTCTAGAATCCAAGCTGAAAAGTGCACCGTTCTTCCAGACACATACAAGACACAGAAACACCGAAATCCACTACTAATTTTAGCCCCCCCCCCCCCACACACACGGAAATTAAGTCCCGCACCAGATGTTCTACTCCAGTATAAAGATGAGTGTGTGTCATTCTAAAAGATCCTCTCCGAGACAAGAAAGCTAGAATTCAACACAACATTTTGAAAGGCCAGTATGTGTGTGTGTGAGTGTGGTAAACTAACTTCAACTGCACGAGTCCTGAACGCTGTGCCACTAAGTAGCAGACAGCAGTGGGAAATACCACCAAATCCATAAGTACATGTAGGGATGTGGACAGATAAAGACAATTGCACTACACGATGAATAGTAACAAGGTGACATGTCGTGCAACCAGTGAAACCACTAGATCAGTCACCCTCTAAGCTGACTAAGGTCTAGACATTTGAGCATTGTTGGACACGACTAAAAGTAGCCTCACAACAGAAACACTAAAATGATCACCATGAGGCACACAGCAATAGTCTGAAGACACGATTTTCCTTTTTGATTGCAAAAAACCATACCTCCTCTGCTGTTGGCAGATATTCTGGAGGTGCGTTGTATGACTCTGCATGACCTGTGATTGGACATAAGGTATACCCAAGCATGGACAAGCAAACACACACACACACACACACACACACACACACACACACACACACACACACACACGCACACACACACACCTCTGCTCAGAAACCTGCGCTGCTTCCAATCTCCTTCACTGTTGTCTGATGATTGGTTGCCAACAACAACGAAAACGGATGTGCTTGTAAATTGAGCCGGGAAATATAAAACTTGCTAGATGACAAGCAGAAAGACAACAATGCAGACATGATGGGCTTTTAAAATAGCTATTACTGACCAGGTAGCTTCATCTTCGGGGCTGCCATCAGCAAAGGGTTACGGCGAGTTGCCAAATTCTGCAGCACCACAAAACCGAAAGCACAACGAATAGGAATGTGTACATACATCACCATCTTGGAACTCTGTACTATGGAATTAGATCGAGGCAAGGGCTCTTGACGGGCAGCAGATAACATTTACGGCACATGTGTTTAAATTAGAAGACGTTTCCAATCAGTACTGTGTACACATACTACAGTCGTAGACATTGAATGGGAAAACGGTGGAAGATTGAGACTTAGGCAAGTGATACTCGTGAAAGCAAGAGTGCATAACCTGGTTATGTACTATTGGTGAAAGTAACGAGTCGTGATTGGAAGACAGGAGACAAGTTTAAAAGTCACAATTGTCAGCAGTTGGGAAGATTGAAGGTACACAAAATTCCGAAAGACGGAACACTATGATATACAATGTGGGCTGGTATTGAACCACACTTCAATGTAGATACTTTGTGTGTGTGTGTGTGTGTGTGTGCACGTGCGTGCGGGTGCGCGCGCGTGTGTGTGTATGGTGTGCGCATGCGAGTGCGAAGGGAGCAGCTCACAACATGCAACCCTAAAATATCTTGGGTATGCTTTGAGGAAGAGCGTGAAGGTTTTATGGTACAGTCTCGCACCTGTAAATGGACAAAATTATTGATCACGTGGTCAGCTAGGTATGTGCTATCAGCTACAAAAAGTGACTGCGGAAGCAGGCATGAAGAAAGCGTACAAGTACACATACCACGCTTTGGCACAACCTGCAGCAATAGTGTCAGTATCTTGCCAACAGTGCTGTCACTCACCGAATCACTTGTCGCCCAGATGTCATGATAGCGTGTTTTCTCTGCTTCCTTCTCACTTGGTGGCTTGATCCAGCCATTGCGGATGGCGCGCACCATTTTCATGACCTGAAAAGGCAACCAGCAAAGTTTACAATAACTACAATTTAGCACGTACAACCGACCAAGTACAGTCCATGTATAAGGCTGCAATAACAATACGTGAACCTGTACAACTTTCCGCTGGCCTAGGGGAAGCAGCTTGCCTAAAACAAGAACAGTTCCTTACAAAGTAACTTGTTATACACAGATACTCACTCTTTTATGCTCCCATTTCGATGGAACAAATCGGCGCTTGGGGTCCGGCATGTCCTGCAGTGGATGCGGTTCGACTTCATTCGTGAAGAAATCCACATACGGCTACAGGGTGAAAGTGAAGAAAGTCAAACACAGAACCCTTAGATCATCATGCCCAACACATACAGCAGAGTCTATCTAAGTGCCTGCAACAAGCGCAAACAGCACTAGCAAGTATGACGAGATGCACATGGCACAAGAAAGGCACGCAGAACATACTGGGAGCAATATAAATGCAACTCATCCGGACAGACAAAGCAATCCCGGGGCGCGATAGTCGGACTGCGATGCAGCACATGCCCTCCAAATACGTGATCAATGGCACACAGCACTCAAACACAGCCAAGCAAACAACACAGCCACGGCATCAGACTCAACACCAGAATGAAGGACACAGTTGCCACATTGGCATACTACACACACGCACAGTACTCACAGCGTGTGGATCGAAGTCTTCATGCGGGTAGAGACCCTGGGTCATACGCTCTATCATGGCCACTTCATCGTCCGTCAGAACTCTACTCTGGCCAGTCTGAGGGTCGGTGACAGTACGGCTATAGACATGCACAGGACCAGAGCAGGCAGACACTCCTCCTCATCAATACACCATACCAGCAGCCAATGATACTCTCTACGCTACTAGAGTGCTACAGCCATATACATATACAAGTACATGAACAGTGCTCAAAGAAGTCCGATTGTGTGAGTCAAGTTTGCGTCCTGCACCAGCTCACATCACCGTGTCCGCAAGCCTTTGGCTGCACAGCGCCCGGCGTGGCATTCACTCGCTTCATTGGACTTCACTGAGCAGCACTGTTACTGTAGTTCATGTACATGTATGTGAAGAAACCACTGAACCACTGCTTCGAAGTACTAAATGCTGCATTCCAAGCACACTTCCAAGAATAATGTCCAAACCAAGCAGCACTCTACAAATAAATAAAAAACACTAAAAATACGGCATACACTTACCCGAAGTCAGGATTATCCATGCGGTCCAGAAATGCATCAATCTACAACATACCAAGGCAAAATTTGGTACAGTAACAGATGTCAGAACATACTGCCAGCCAACATGCTAACTCTTTAACCGCCAGCGCATACTTTCTCGTTCTCCAGAGAACAATCAGTAAAACCTTTGTAACTTGGTCAAGTAGCGATCAAATTTCAAGATCGAAGGCGCTTTCTCCATAAGAAAACGCCAGGCTACCGCCTCCAACAATCACCGAAGAGATAATAAGGATGCTTCTATCCGATGATATCGGGCAACAACGTTATGGTAAATGTATTTTACGTGCATTCTGAAAATATCAAAGGTTGAATTCTTTTTGCATACCGCTTACGTCCCAAGACAACCAGCACATGTGAAGGCGGTTGACGTCTTCAGCTTGTACAAAAATCAGAATCCTAAGATGAAGGAAGATGAAATGGCGAAGCAAATTGCATTTCAGTCGTGAATCAGGCTACGTGTAGGTGTGGATTCCATCGAGCTTCCAGCGCTGGACTCATGGCCTCGGCTGTGTTCTCTTTGCATTTCTCATGAAATAACCTTTCCGAGGAGCCAAAGATCATGGAATCGAGTTAATACAACAGACGTTATGATTTGTTGAAGGTAACAAGGTGGATGACACTGCTAGCATTGCTACCACCAGTGTCATCATGATCATTCGTAGCATCAGCCGCACCACCACAACCAATAGCACCATCAGCAGCCGCATCTGCATCAGCATCACCACCAAAACCAAAAGCGGTTTAGATAGCATGGAAGCTTAGAAATTTGACCACCTTCAGGAACGAACTAGATAGTCATATCCCTGAGTTTTTCTGGTGTGTTCATACGTGTGCTTATGGAACGGAGTTCTAGTATGGTCTAGTTAGCATCTCTACAATTATATGCAGGTGGCCTGGTGCTAGCTCAATGTGCTTGCAGCATTTCAAGCACTTTGGCATTGTTCATACTTCCATACAAACATACAGAATGCAATGTCATACGGAGACACGAGCCGTCGTGAGGAGATGAGCTCCAATTCTCTGATCTACGTTGCAACAGCTGCTGTGGACGGATACAAGTCTACAATTCTACATGTATCTATCTTGTTATTGGTCCCTGGCCATGGTGAGTCCTCTCTGCGCACAGCTTCCTTATAAGGTGGAACATAATTATATTGTAACTCAGAGTTTCACACTTATGCGATCATCAGGCAAAAAATATTCCTATATTATTTTGGGCTGAAACGATTATACCAATTACTCGGTAATCGATCGATAATTCCTTATCAATCAAGTAATCGTTACGTTATAGATTACTCGTTAGGGATTTTGAGTCCAAAAAGTACTGAAAACCCTCGTTTTTGTGAAGTTTGAATCAGTTTCCACTGTGAGTATGCAGTTGCCAGGGGCATGGTGCACATTCTGAGGTTAAATTGAATTTATAACTACCATGTTTCTGAGCTATCCTGTCACTAATGCAAATTTGTGGTATTATGATGGCTTAGATTTCGGAAACAGAGCAATGTTTGCACAAAATTCTGACACTCTCTGCTAACGATTATAATCGATAAATCGATCGTTAAGCTCAAGAGTAATCGATAGGTGAAAATCCACGATCGTTTCAGCCCTAAATTATTCCTATATTTATGTATGCTGTCTCACTGACCTCATCCATATTCGAAGCGGACTTGAGGATCTTCTTTCCATCTAGAGTGTAGCCGACATGCTTTTGATCTTTGTACCATTCCAGCGGCACATTGCCAACTGTATTGCGCATGTCCTAACACAGTAAAACACCAGCATACACACACACACACACACACACACACACACACACATACACATACACACACACACATACACACACACACACACACACACACACATACACACACGTGCACACATGTAGCGCAAATAGTTCAAATATCAGGATATGCCCACCTTCATGAGATGCAGACCACCCAGTACATTGAAGTGAACTACAGTGCAGCACAGTCAAACCTCTTCAGGACAAACTTCAAGGGGCTCGATGGACGGGTTCGATTACACATTCTGGACCCAGTTTTATAATTCACGAATGACCAGAATGAAGGGAGTGCGCTCATGTATGTGTAGACTGCACACTTGGACCAGTTGAGGGACTTTGCTTTTCTCCAGTGTACTGGTTGTTTGTACCACACCTACACAGACCTGCATCCACCAAGACAGATATTGGCACCTCCACACACCTTAGACTAGGCAGAGAAGCTAGTACAGAAAAGGAAAAGAGTACTGCTTAGATATACTGTTGTGGACACAGAAATCCGGTGGGATGACCAAGGCCGGCGCCCATACTTGCTTAGCGCGTACCAACACTGTAACATAGTAAGGATGGACCAGCAGTGCTCAGCAGTGCTCACGGCTGTACGGCCAGCACCAGCAGTGCTCACGGCTGTACGGCCAGACCAGCAGTGCTCACGGCTGTACGGCCAGACCAGCAGTGCTCACGGCTGTACGGCCAGACCAGCAGTGCTCACGGCTGTACGGCCAGACCAGCAGTGCTCACGGCTGTACGGCCAGACCAGCAGTGCTCACGGCTGTACGGCCAGACCAGCAGTGCTCACGGCTGTACGGCCAGCACCACATGGCCAATTGACTTCTCAACGGATTTCAATGTCCACAACAGTACAAGTGACACATCACATACGATTCAAATGGCACAGCATATACAGTTACACTGTGTACGTGATAAACGTTGCAGGGGAATAATCTGGCCAATCAAAACCTATTCCCACACAAAGTTTACTTCTGTGACCTCACTGATCTGGCCTGTTCTGGGCATGACGTCATCATGATGCCACCTAATTTCGTGAAAGCGTCCAGCCGCTGTAACACCAGAATGGCTGCTCCCATCAACATGGAACTTTGAACATTGGAATTAGTGAGCTTTTCAATGCAAGTATTCAGGTTAGAAAACCTGCATTATTATGCTGATAGCATAGCACTAGGACATCTAGTGTACTAACCTCTTCATCACTAGCATCACTTTCCTCCGCCAAGTCTGACAAGGTAGTCTCCTCTTCGTCCGACGACGACTGCCAAAGCAAACAACCAAAGAGATATGCAACAACATTGATCACTTATGGGCAATGATGCCAGTAGGGAGTATGAAGAATTCAAATACTAAATCTAAGTCAGTTTAGCACTCACTGGTTTATCTTAGGGCATGTTCGATTGGTAGGATCGGGATCCCGATCCACCGGATCCACTGGATTCGCACCCTTTCGATTGGTCGAATCCGGATCCGGATCCTTCGGATTTGGATCCGGTCAACCCTCCTCGGGGAGCAGGGTTGATCGGATCCAACGGATCCAAACGTGACCTTTGTGCGTATATGGCGGGTAAAAATCATTTTTGTACACATTGTGATACGCACACGTGGATGGAGATAGAGCTTGTTGACTTTTTGTACGACGCACGCGATGAGTACGACGTTCACCCTTTTGGGTGCCTTGTGAGCGCCATTTTCAACATGGCAACAGTCAAGGTCCAAAATAAAGTAAGTGTTCAGTTGAATCTGAAGGATCCGAGGGATCTGAGATCTGGATCCCGATCCTTACCAATCGAACATGCCCTAAACATCACTCCAACAAATTTCAAAAGGGCAAGAAAGATCATCAAAAAGAAAACAATAACACAATGCCCAAGTGTTGCCAGCACTTCACGGCCATCATGACAACGGAGATCTTGACATCGTCGCCATAGAGAAAGAAAACTCAGAAAAAACTTTCATTTCAAGGCGAAGAAGGACAGCTCAGATGAGCTGGCTGCCGCGGCTGATGCGAAAGAGGATTTTTTACTGAATCCATGGTGCTGTGATTGAGTGCATGGTGGGGAATGGAGGCCGTGACAAGCCATGTAATGGAGTTACGTATCTTGATGGTTTGGGTTACTAGTAGTGCATGAAACATGCTCGGGGACCCGGCGACATGCATGAGCCTACTATGCGTAGCATGGACAGACTGGGCAATGTACCCATATCAAACATGCAGCGTTAGCCGCGAGGGGAGCACGGTGTAATCAGGTGTGTCCTGGGTATAAACATTGGCATGGCATCTGACACACATGGGTAGGGCCCTGGCGTCACACTTGTTCAGCATGAACGGCTACAGCCTAGTACAGGTGTAAATGCACCCTACGCAGTCTTAGTATACCCGGTACCCGGAGCTGCAGTATGAACTTAGTGGTCATATGAGACAAGTGGTCGCTACCACTTTTTTTCACAAGGTAAAAGGCATGCTGCTTCTTAGTCACATGACACTAACATACAGCATGTATCCATGGCAGGTAACACGGGCTGACGGGGACGCCAGCAGGCGGGAATGCCCTATTCAAAATGTAATAAATAATAATAATCTCAGGTGCATGCACATGATGTACTATGGAGGAGAGTGTGAGGCACACAGGGAAGACGGCCGCACTGGGATATCATCACAGAGAAAAAACTGGCTGCTACAAGTCACTCGTAGCAAGTACTACATTGGATAGTGTTTCCTGGTCTGGGCCGGAGTCGAGGTACCAGTGGTGGATGCCACGCGGTGAACACTCAGAACTGGAAACACAGGATTGGGGTAACGTGTCAGAAGGTACGGAAGGGACCGGGTGACAAGTCCTAGGGGCAGGCCTAAGGTCACTCGGCAGGAACGTCGGGTGTACCAGATATCCAAAGCTAGAAGGAATTGAATCAACCAGATTTTTTGATTACTAGTACTTGTATCTACATTTCTCCTTTTGGTCTTTCTACATTTTAGCCAGCTCTCTCAACCGAGCTCGACTGTATCAATCCATAAGGTATCTGTGTAGACCTATTTCTGCGATACTAGCATGACAAACCCCTAGGCAACAATAGCATTAGCACGAATGGGATTTTCGCAGGAATACAAAAATGATCTGAACCTAATTTCGGCTGTGATTTTGCCTCACCTCTAGCTCTGACTCCGTATCAGGCTCGTCCTCCAGACCAGAGTAGACGCTGTCATCGCTATCACTGGCCATTCTTACAGTGATACCTGGATCTTTCCTCACCAGCTCAAAGCTACATGTATCTCCTCATTCAGACAAAACTGGACAACAATGAGATAAATAAAATGCTAACTGCGAAGCTTGACCGATTGAACAGTGCACTCTTTGCATATTTGCTCAGCTACAGTATAAAAAGCTGAAAAAAATAATTGGAAAGAGCTGGCAGTTTTGCGTCAATTTGACGCCATTGTCACCTTAGCAACTGGCTGGCTAGTTCAAATCAGGGAGTCGAAAAAAATACGGCTCCGGGATCCCTGATTCAAATGTATGGTCTGAAAAATGAAATCGTGAAGTCCTTTTCGTGTCTTGACCTGACTTCTTCCAATTCCATAGTGAGTTTTGTGAAACAGCTACTCAAATTGACTTCGTTGCGGAAATACTTTGCCTTCGGTAGTTGCATTATTCTCTTCAGCATACTTTGCTCTATCACTTGCCTCAAGATATTGCAAACATGCACCCTGGAATGCTGTCCAATCGAGCAGGAAGCACCACTCCTGTTCCAGCCCCTGCACAAGCCTCTTTGCCACCTTTCCTGCTCGGTGGAGCATCTCAGTCGCCTGTGAGCTGCCAGATTGTTTTTGGAGTTAACATAATTGCAATGATAGCATCAGCCTTTGTAACACCCGCTCTGATGCATGTGTGTGTGTGTAGCCTTCAAGGAGTGCCTACGGTAGCGGCTTGCCTCCATCTGGTTTAGGTGGATCAAGTCAAAAACACCAGGCCTTTCCTCAGCACAGACAAAGCCCTGGATCTCCTAAAAGGTATTCATGTTGATACTACATGTACATGTACATGTAGTATGCTTCCTATCCATGGGAATATCTATGGTGCTTTTTGTATACACGCCAATGATATTGCGTGGACTGTGCTTGGTGCTGTGCTATTATCTGTTAGATTTGCCCATACCAACAATACCATAGAAATCTGTGCATAAGCTCCTATCTTAGCTTATAATTACTGTACTTCTGCACATATAAGCGCATGTGCTTAGCGCTTAGGTCCGGACATAAGCGCATGTGCTTAGGTCCGCACATAAGCGCATGTGCTTACATGATCCGGACATAAGCGCATGTGCTTATATGTAAACACGATTAGTGAAACACCTGGGAGCTGAATATACTACTAGGCATTGTGATAACACCATTGTTTAGGACACAGACAAACCTTTACTGCACATATTGGCGCATGTGCTTCTACCCGGACATGTTTACACAGCCAAAAATCTTTTTTGCAGCAAATTTTCGCTTATTAAGCACATGCGCTTATATGTGGGGAAGTACGGTATAACAATTGGCTTTGGGCGGATGCAGACCGATACAAACATACAGCGGTACAGAGCAGCGTGAAGCCATGAACGTCATTTACTGTAAATTACACTGCACATGTCTCACGCTAAGGACTGGATTGAGGAGACGTGGGTAAATGTGTGGACGTTCAATGCTTTGGAATTTCTGTTGACCTTGACTTCAACAAAGCTCGACCATCTTGCTTCAGATCGATACATGAACCAGGTGTTAGTGCTTCATTTTCATCGTTTTCTATGTCTCTGTCTGCTGTGTAGCCGCAAGGATGTCACCAATACTGCACCACCTGTGGATGGCTTGTTTGATGCATCAGCTGCTGGCCACCCGCTCCATGGTCAGGACACTGCTGGTCTGGGCGCAAGGACCACAGCTGATGCTGGACTGGGTGCAAGTCCTGGTATTTTCTCTGATCAGTCAAGTGCAGCGTATCCTAAGGTAACTCTACTAATGCACACAGCAGTATTACTATATATACATGTATACATGTCAGGGAATTTTCTAGAACCGCCCCAACCGGTTTTCGACCGGTTGAAATTGTTGGCGACCGGTTGAAAAGTTACAAATCAGTTCCAACCGCCCGTACTTTTCTGTGGGTGAATGGAGCTGTGAATGGTCAAACGCTTTTTTCTGGACGGATACTTCCAGCGAAGCCGCGTGGGCTGGTACTAGGGTCACGAGTTTGTACTCCAGCACCAAGAAATCTGTTAAATTGCTGTCAAGTGCCATATTTGGGTTGTATTTTGAAAAAAATTTCCGGGGGGACCCCCCACCTCCCGACTCTTCATTGGACCGTAACCGGTTGGAAATTCGTCCTAGAATATACCCTGCATGATGTATACTGTATATATAGTAGCAGAAACCTGAAGTTTTCCTTGGCAGTAGAGTCACGTCTCCAACCATGTGGACCCATGAGGTCTGGCTAGGAGGTTCTTGTTTTCTTTAATCATCTGACCAACAGTCATGTTGGGAAATGGCATACACGTATAACCCCTGCGTGATAGGTTAACATGTTTTAGAAGTCGACAGCATGTTACGTCCTCCGCCTTGTAACATGCTGTCGACTTTGAAGTACCGTAAAGTACCGTTGATCCGCCCCTCTCTAATTCCCGCCCCCCTGTCGATTTTCTACCTGTGAAGCAACTTCGGCGTATACAACGAAATACAATGTTGAACCGACGCATGCACTGCTGTACACAATTTGAGCCAATCCAGGACGAAAATGTGCACAATCCAGCACATCGAGTCTGATCCCCCACGTTGTTGTACATCGTACTGCACTTCACAGCCTTGATCTAATTCCCGCCCCCTGCCGAAAACCCAGCTGGGAAGCGTCATGGCGTGGGGGCGGATCAACGGTACTTTACGGTACATACATGTAGTGCACTGTTTACGTATGAACACCCAATGGACTTCTTTTAGGGGGATCTGGCATTCTTATGATTATCCCGGGAAGTTCTTATCTTCCCAGGCTGGGTGTTCTTATGCTCCTTAGTCTTGCGCATGCAACTCAACTGCCCTTCATAAAATAGGATGATTGGTGTAACATGCTTTCGGCTCGGTGATGTTGACAGGTCAGAGTATACTGTAAAGTTGACATCGCACTGTGCATTCACTGGTAGTGACTGGTACGTGTCTCTAGTTACTGTATGATACGCATCATCTTGCATTATTTTGTCCTCGGGTCCACTTATAACACCGGTGGTGTGCGTGTGTGTGTGCATGTGTGTGTGTGCATGTCTGTGTGTGCATGTCTGTGTGTGTGTGTGTGTGTGTGTGTGTGTGTGTGTGTGTGTGTGTGTGTCTGTGTATGGTTGTATTGCATACAGTATGGCCATCATCAGCTGGCGAATCCGAGTCCACTGGTTGCTTCTCCCGGCATGGCTCCTGTAACTCCTTTTGCCGGCACAATGGGTGGTAAGTCTGTGTGTCATGTAGCTACGCTAGGAAGCCCACGGTGAAGTAACGTTCATAAAGCGATTGGTTGAATCATTGCATGTTGCCTGTGCACCGGTATATTGGTACCCTGGTACGGCTGATAGGGCTGCCGTTGATACCCCAAGAACTAGCTTACAAATTATTTTGAAGTACTGTAAACTGCTTACTGCTACTGCTGAATACTATCGTATTAGTGTTCGCTATTTGCGCGTGAAGTGCGCGAGCGGATATTATATAAACCAGCATGACATCGAACTTTCGCAGTGCATGCATATGTGTGATGCAGTGTGATCCAGTTTGATCCATGAACATTTGCCGGTGCAAATTCACAGATTCTGAAAAGTCTCGAAACTCTGGTGACGTGAATATCGGCCAGTTCACAATACTGTAGTACTATTGAAATGATTGCGTATTGACTGTGTACAGTGTGGTCACACGCACACACACACACACACACGCACACGCATAAATCATCTCTGTACAGATAAGACTAATAATGCTCATTGTTGAGAAGATTTTTCAGCAGTCCCTTTTGGTGACCATACAAAGATGTTGTACAGTATGGATTAAGGAGGAAGAAGAAGGGAGGAACTCTGGATACTGTGAACAAATTGTCATTCCTTTACCGTATTTTCCGGAGTATAAGCCGCACTTTGCACACTCCAAATTCACCCAAAAGGGGGATGCGGTTTATACTCCAGTGATCAAATTAATGGTGATAAATAGGGTAGATGTCTGTATTTCGTGACAACAAATGGGGGGGGGGGGGTCGGCTTCTACATGTGCTCCGGAAAATACGGTAGGTGCCCACCCTGGACAAGTTCTACGTACACATACCTTTCTACATCCTCTACTGATCCTTGACAATCCAAACAACCGTCCATGCTGTACAATTGATTTTGTTAAATGGAACCAAACTCTCATATACGTAAAAGGTTTCTTTGGAGACAAAAGTGCTATAATGCTTGGGAAGAGGACAAACTTCACCAGGAAACGTTTTTTGAAAGTTTCCACTAGTATACTTTCATGTCTTCTTGTCGGGTGAAATACAGGCAAAAAACAAAGTACAGGTAGACTCCCTTTAATTCGAACCTCAAATTGCCAGGCCCTAACTTCGAATTATCCAGAACTTCTAATTATCCAAATGCAGCCCCATGCACTGATATGTATGTCAAAATGCTTGAAATCTCATGCTGAATATTTTTTGCACATTTTTATTTGCATCAACGAAACATAGGTGGTCGTATCGGTCATGTACAACGGATCATCAAAACACTGGATCGACACAAAATCATTTTGACATTATCTTCATCTTCTAGTGAAGAAGTTGTCAATCACTGCAGCTTTCCTGAAACAATTTCAACGGAAAAGAACTGCGCTGCCTAATCCACGTCATGAAAAGTTGGGCACCCTGTAAGAAGACCTTAGGGTCTGTTGGGAATGCCCAAGTAAAATAATAAAATACAATACAAAATACAAAAGGCCGTCGAACAGCAGCACGTCGTTCTGAAGAACGGAAGTGGAGCATAGGCATCGACAATATTTACGACAAGAGTGTTGTTGTTCGCCAACATCCCCGCGCACGAGCTGGCGCGGCAAGAAAGGCCATCGAGATCCGCGAAGAGAGTCAGCCACCTGGAAGAAGTCGTCTTCAATCAAACCTTTGCAATTTGCCTAGCACGGGCTTGAATCAAATTTCGAGAGAAGGTGGGTTTCTTGAACGCTATAGTCGATCCTGCAGCGGACCATCAATCAATTTCTGAGCTACTCTTGGCTAGAGAAGGAGAAAAGAATGAACTTCGAATTACAAGGATAGCAACTCAATCTCACTTCGAAATAAGCGTTCAAAGGACATAGCCAATGTACTGTAAACAGCTCTTCTGTACGAAGACTGGGTTCGAATTATCCAACCGGCGCACTTTTCGTACTTCGAATTATGCATTCGATTTTGACTTGAAGTGACTTGCAAAAGATCGGTACGACGAAAAAGTTCGAATTACACGGAATGTTCGAATTAAACCGTATTCGAATTAGAGGGAGTCTACCTGTAGCAAGAACAATGAATTAAGTACAGGAGAGGGGTGATAGAATAGCTCAAAGAAGAGTAGCCAAAAACAACAATGGTAAAATGCGTGACCCCATATACATAGAAAGATGGACAAAAAGTGCGCGTGTGAAGAAACGTAACGCGCATGAAAAGTAGTGCCACACCAATCGACAACCAATGGACATAACTAACGAGTTGTTCACGACCTATCTAACAGCCTAAGTACTGTAGTAGTATTTATTTTATTTACCATTGGCTGCCTCAACAGTGATATACTAGTCTTTGTCCGAGGAGGCTGCGGCCGATGGTTCATCAGATATGCCCAATCGAACATGTGAGAATTTGAGCGCGCATCACCCAGATCCAGGTGATGACGTCACAGCGTGCAGCCAGGTAGCCACACCATCTAGTCGTGTACAAAATGGCCATATTCGGAGCGCGTTCGATTGGGGAACCGTTTGTCGCAGCTTCTTCGGACCAAGACCATTCGATTCAGTGTTACAAACACTACGTACCCTGTGATTTTCAGCTCGCTAAACCTCGAGGTTATACCGTATTTTAGCCGTTTCCGAGTTGGACTTTTTCCGTCAGCATGCAATGGCCTCTACGGCTCTTGCAATGCGCTGCGTGCATGCTAGCTGTAGTGCAGTCAACAAACTCATCCACACACGGAACTACTCCCGCACTGCCGTGCTGGGCTAGCTACAACAAGACTCGAGAGTCGAGACATCGAGCAGTAATCAAACACCAAATCGACTTTAAGCTCAGTACAAGAACAAATGCGTACTCAACAACCTTCACGGCGCATCCTGCATTTCTGCCGCATTGTGTGGATCTTCAGGAAGGTGTCCTGTTCATATTCTACTGAACAGAACTCTGTAGTTCATTGCCTACTCCTGCGGTTTGCCACCTTCAATGTAATAGCTCTTGTCCTACTTTGCTGCATGTCGTGTATTGCTGTCAGCATCTCACCACACTGGTGTGCCCGGTACAATCAGACAACAGGGACATCCACCATCGGCACTAGCTACCGCTCAAAGCACCGAGTCTATGCATTCTCCGCATACAACCCTCAAGTAAGTTCTTGTAGGGCACGATGTCGGTTGCTTATGATATGCTCCAAGTTATCTTTCATGCTGGTACACATGTTTTTGCTTGATTCGTTCGAATAACTACCCAATCTCCTAGTTTTGGGTGCATGACTCCATTTCCGTGGGAAGTTGGTTTCAAACCACGAGGAAAGGGTTGTATTTGATTTTCCACAGCGCCGTGCAGATTATAGTTGTTGATAAGTCGGCGAGGAGACAAACCTATAATCGATAGAAATAATGTATACGCACTCATACCACGACACCAGAACAGAACAGGGCGCAACATTCCCCTGAGCCTCCTGCCGTACTAGTTCCTGGCGAGGTATAGTCGCAGCCACAACCATCAACAACTAAAAAGAAGAGAGGTAGACCTCGTAAAACACATGTGCCAATTGCTTCATCCCTACCGCTTCCTCCACCCTCTCTGCGACAAGTTGCCCAACCGGTGGATGGTCTTGGTGCGGTATCAATTATACTTTCCCAGTGCCCAAACTTACCATGAACGTAACAACAACTCCTTGCCAGCAAAGAAAAAGAGAGGTTGACTGCCAAAGGTCTCTAATCCAGCAGGGACTTTGCGGTCGCAGCTGCCCCTTGCACCGTCAGTGTGTGGACCTATTGAATCCCCAAACATAGCGTCCATGATAGTTGGTTGTCGGAGAAGTGCACTGGTCTGCACGCCACCACCAGCGGGGTCCGGTGTTCAGCATTCCGATGTTTCGGAGCAATTTGTTGACCGGACGGGCCTTGATACTGTCAGGGATGTGTGCGGTGAGGTGGACCAGCTGGATGCTGTCAGCGAGCCAGTAACTGGAATGCTAGACATGATTGACGGAAAGCATACCGTACTTTTCCAGTTGTAAGTCGACCTTTTACGACTAAAAATAGAAGGAGAAAGGGTGGGAGTCGACTTACAACCAGGATTCGACTTATAACCGGGAACTATCAGAATCTTACAAAAAATGACCTGCCCTGCATGCATGAGTGCACCATGTGTATACATGTTTGCCAGTTTATTGGCCTTTTTCAAGGATTGGGACGTTATACCCTTCAATAACAGTAGAAATCGGGTATTACGTCCCTATCCTTGAAAAAGGCCAATAAACTGGCAAACAATGTTTACATGATTTGTTGATGTGTTAGTAGCAGGGAATGGTTAGTAGCGCTTCGTTGGGTGAAAACTTTAAAACGCAGAATTGAGACCTCCGGATACGGGGTCGACTTACAACCGGTAAAATACGGTATCAGCAAAGGAATCGACAACAAGGACAGGAATAACGGACAATGCACATATTTACCTCTGTCTAATGGTTCGGACACCGATGTTTGGCTGCGGGTGGGTGAGGATTTCGCGAATGGTTCCACTCCGGATGGTGCTCAACTGATATCGACACGCCCAAGACGAGCGACCGCAAAATTATGGAAGGTTGACCGCGGCAGTGGATCGAGGAGAACGAAGAAGTCACGAACGGAAGAGACAGGATTTGGAGATCGTGGATGAGGATGGTGAGAATGACGACGGTGAAAGTGAGGACGAAGGGACTGATGACGAGCCTGCGGTTGGTCATGCAGTATTTGTGAGTACCGTATTTTCCCGAATATAAGTCGACCTTCTGTGCGCCAGAAATTTCGCCAAAAGCTGGGGTTCGACTTACAAACGGAACTCGACTTGCATACGGGAATCTGGCACAACAAATGAAGTGACTGGAGTGTCCGTACAAAAATGCGATGAGAGCGAGACAAAATCAGGTGACAGTGAAGATGGCTATGAGACTGATGACGCCCGATAGAATTCAATGTGGCAGTTGGCAGCACAGTGGCAGTTAACATTGAATGAACATTGGATGACACTGGTTTTGTTTAGATTTTGTCTTACTGGCATGATATGATCTCTCCTCGCAGAGAATTCATCATTTTGTGGGCGTGGGTGTCATGGAGCTATAAAAACATTTTTTCATGAAGTTGAAATCGACTTATATTCGGGAAAATACGGTACCTGTAAATCTGCTGTCTTCAATCATTTGGTGTTCAACCCCCAGTGCTTACAGTTGTATGATGATTCGTGCTTCAGTGTGGTGTGTTATGAAAGTAGTTTTCGTCTACTTTACATATTAGAAGCCATGTTTATTCGTACTCGCAACCCAGATTTATACAGAAAGAAGGAATTTGTTATAGCGCTCACCCTCTTTACTTGACATAGCAACACTCACATACATGTAACTTTCTCATTTTGCACCTGCTCTCCACTCCACACATGCTCTAACACTGCTCGCTTTGTAATCACGCCTTCTATAGTCACGCTGATTCTAGGATACCAGTGTTTCTCGTATTAGTTTTAGATCTTGATTGTACCATAAAAATAGTTGCTTTGTAGTCTAACCCTCAGTGTGATGAAGATTTCTGATGGAAGTAACACGAAAATGACGTTAAAATCCGTACTTATTGTTCCTCTGGTGTCGTGGTATGAGTGTGTACACATTATTTCTATTGATTATAAGATTACGGTTGCTTGATATTATTGAAGGCAGTGAGCTGCACATCTGGCCCAAAGAAAAGAGATCACAGTTGCATACTCTTGGTTATGGCCTATTGATGTAACCTTTTCCTCCTCCTGCTGTTTCTCTACCAGTGGGGACGCATGTGGCGATATCACCGAGCAGTGCTGGGTGACTGTATTTGGATTTCCAGCTGATGCAGCAGCGTACATGCTGCAGGAATTTGCACATTATGGCACCATCATTCGCCACAGTATGGATGTGAACACGAACTGGATGCACATCTGCTACCAGTCTCCCTTGCAGGCCAGGAAAGCACTCAGCAAGCATGGTAAAGTTTTTATGACCTCTGTTATGGTGGGCGTTGTCCCTTGTACTGACCAGAAAGTCATGCAACTTGAGCAGCACGCACGGCATGAGCAGAGTTCTGCGGATTTTACCAGCCCCGTGATGATGAGAGAACGCCAGGGATTTGCGTCTCAAGGACAACAGCAAGCAGCGCGCCATGGCACACCTGGTGGGATGCGGCCACTCACCAGTTCATTCCAGACACCCAATGCTGCTGCTGGATCTGCGGTAAGGCATGCTAGAACATGAGAGAGGACTTCTGTGGTGTTCTTGTTTTGTTTTCCTGTGTATCCTTGCCATGTTATCAATAGTGCTAGTGCTGAGCAGCAACGAATAATTTGCAGTTTTTGCACCCAACCACAAATGGGTGACTGCTAATTATTGTTTGCGAGTCCTTCCTATTTGATTCCGTATAAAACCTGTATTCTTGTCGCTGTACTGCTCGTGTCTGTTCTTGTCTTTGTAGATGCGAGACCCAGACACAGCAACGCCACGCAAGTCTGATGGTGTAATCGGCAAAGCCATGGAGTACATGTTTGGCTGGTAGCACACTACACTAGACATCAGACTGTTGACTTGTGTTTGTTTGTGACCGGCGTGCACCAAGCGGTCTCCTTTTCTACCGTTCTACTGTCTTTCTACAAATGCTGTCAGTGGTGTATACTTGACCCACCAATGTCTACCTGGCTACCTGGCTAGACTAGCAACTGACCACTACCTACTACTACTCTGTGTCCCCCCCCCCCTTTTTTTTAAGACACCATAATTTTGGTGAGATATCGGGGCTTCGTAAATTATGTTCCTATCTCTCACTCTTTCCGCAGCACTATACCACATTTAGCAACAAATTCCTTGCTGTTCATGCTTGTTTTTAACATTTGTATGCATGTGTTTAGCAAGTGCGTGCAGTGTAGAATCTGTGAAATTGTAATAGAACTTTGACAATGTACAATGTTTGTTTGTACCGCTATATATTTTTTTGATGATACTTTAAGTATTTCATGGAAGAATAGAATGAAATCAGGCAGCATAGGTCCATATTACACAGTGCAAAGGGAGTGACTGGATCCTGAATCTTGAATTCATTAGTTGAGGGAGAGTCTTAGGGGCCGTCCAAGGTTACCAATCATATTTTCAAAACGAAATGTTTTCGTTTGTGGGTGGGTGGGTTTGAAGGAGTTTCGTTTTGAAAATAATTATTGAATGCTGATGGAGAATGCCCAGTTAGTTCTGGGTGTCGAAAATTGACATCAATATTTTATTGGAATTCGTTTTCCCTGCAGAAAAGGTGGGTGGGTGGGTGGGGGCTGAAAAATACTAAAACTTTTCGTTTTGTAAAAACAATCGGTAACCCCGGACGGCCCCTTAGGTACAAATTTACACCAACGAAACAAACGATGGTTCCATAGTACCTCACAAGGAGGAGCAGTGGATGGATGCATGCGGGTTCCTGAATTCTACGAAAGACCCTGTACTAAAACGGCATTGTTTAAAAAAATTAAAAATGACAGTAAACTGACAGAAAACAGAATAATCATGAGAGTCACCAACGGTTTCTAACGCTACAGACATGTGAGTTCGGTTTGTAGTACTGTTGGAAAGAAAGCATTGCCATACCTGCTGTCCATTGATGAGTATCCTGTGATCAATAACACGGGCAAGACTTTCATGCCAAGAAAAATTTAGCAGTCGAGAGACATACGTGTAGGTGTGCCTTCTTCTTTCACACGGAGTGATGGACAAGTTTACCTTGCTACAAGGAACGTGTGTAAGGTTCTTTCACACGGAGTGATGGACAAGTTTACCTTGCTACAAGGAACGTGTGTAAGGTTTCGAATCATCTCTATGTCAATAAGTGATATCTGACCATATCTCCATCAGGCAGTCGTATTTGTATTTCACGACTCCCTGATCTCCGTAGTAGTAGACTACATTGTACTGCATTGTACTGCATTGTACTGCATAGTACTGGGTAGATATCTACATCTACTAGGTGCTAGTGATCATTACAGTTGAGTAGCAGACTGTAGTGGTTGACTGCAGTGGCAGACTGTAGTGGTTGACTGCAGTGGCAGACTACAGTGGCAGACTGCAGTAGTAGACTGCAGTGGTCGACTCTGCCACGTACATGTCCTACGTGCAAGACCGCAATCCGGATGCGTAGAATCAATTGGGAAATCCCCACTCGAGTAGCACTTGTGGAACGAAGTAAGTGATGATCAAATCCGCACCTGCGTTGCAGGACACCAGAAACACATGCATACACATACGCATGAATGCACACACACACACACACACACACACACACACACACACACACACACACACACACACACATTGATCAGATTCGATGATGGTGATGCTACAGTAGAAGCCATAGCAACTTGTGCCGGGACACACACACACACACACACACACACACACACACCTTGGACGCCCATCGCTAGTGCAGTGATAGCGTGCGAGCACACAAACACACACACACATGCGCGCATGTGCACACACACATACGCACACGTACACACATGTAACTGGTATTGATTTGCTTGCAATTGCAGTGACAGTAAAGCTGTGTTCACAACTGGCGCGTGTACGCGTGAAACCACGCGTTTGTGCGTATTTTTGCTGGCTTTTGGGGCACCATGCGTACGGAAACGCGCCGAAATGGAAATTCCAACATGTTGGAATTTTCAGCGCGTATCAGGCGCGTACCAGCGTACATGCCAGTCACTTCGACTGGCGGAATCAAAAAATTAGTACTCGAAGGTGTCGCACGCGCTAAATACGACTTGGATTGCTCTTTTTTGTGAAAGCTTGAGCGCGCGTTTGGGCACGCATGAATCGCAAGCATACCGCGTCCACACGCGAACACAGCTTAAGCTCGTGAAGTCCGACCCACTGGCTTCGATCAGAAGTCTGTTCCTTCAAAGGAAAATTCAGAAACAAGAAGAGTGCAAACAGCAGTGACCAAGTCGACAGAAAGCCCCACTGTGTTGTGACTGTTGTAATGGTTATGGTGAAAGCTACGTAACATGTAATGATCAGTCATGGCCAGACCAGCTATCAAACAGTGCGACCTACCTGCACGCCGAAAGCCTTCCCAACTTTCAAAAACTGCGCTTTTCAAGACAAGAGCACCGGCTTGTGAGGCATGATAGAGCATGGCATATTCTCCAGACACCTACATGATTGTGTACATATGACAGATTGGATGAAACGAGAATAAGATCTATTCTCCAAAATAATAGAATTCACTGTACCATCAACTGTACTCATATCTCATGTTATGTGAGTCTTGAGGTTGACATAACACGACTGTAGTAGTACATCAAAGTACATTGTACTACTCACCCACACCTACACCTACACCTACTCGCATAGCACTTCCCATCCAGCCCTGACGTACCCTTCTGAGTAAGCGGAGTGGCATTCTTTCAACTACTTGGCAAGTGTGCTACTACTCTACTGGCATGCAGCACCATTGTTCTTCGTGCAACGGCATGCGTATGATGCACCGGCCTTGAGTATGATGCAACGGCCTTGAGTATGATGCACCAAAACGGACTGTGTTATGAGTTACCGGGACGGATCTTTCTGAGTTGTTGACACCCTTCGGTGCTAGGATAAAGATGGTGTTTGTTGGCATGGATACAGTGTCTATGTACTTCTGTACCATTAATTTTGGGGCATACCTCGCAAAAGTGCATAGTTCTACTTCTGAAATATTCGGAGCGAAATCCATCATGCGGCTTAGGGATTGCAGAACACATACCTGATAAACTGCAAGAGGAACATCAGGATGCTGCAGAGGATTGGAAGGAATCAAGCAGGAGAGAGATAATGTTAAAAGAGAGCGAGAGAGAGAGAGAGAGAGAGAGAGAGAGAGAGAGAGAGAGAGAGAGAGAGAGAGAGACAGAGACAGAGACAGAGAGAGAGAGAGAGAGAGAGAGAGAGAGAGAGAGAGAGAGAGAGAGAGAGAGAGAGAGAGAGAGAGAGAGAGAGAGAGAGAGAGAGAGAGAGACAGGCAGGCAGGCAGGCAGGCAGGCAGACAGACAGGCAGAGTGTGTGAGAGAGACAGAGAGAGACACAGACAGAAAGAGACGGAAATGGATAGTGAGGGAGACAATGAGTGTGTGTCAGTGAACTTTAGTCGTTGTCTGAGGACAATTCTGATTCTGGGAGAGGGCACAAATTTGTTTGGGAATATATATATACAAGGCACATTGCACATGACCACATAATTATAGAGTGACCATGTATAGCGAGCGGTCTGTGAACAATTTGACCATATATAGAGCAATGACCACATATAGAGGATTGCTGGGCTACTGAGTCTTACATATACATGACTGTATACAAGTACTTAGCATGTTAACCTAGACTAAAAGACACGAAGGTAAAGAGAAGGATATGAGTACTCACACGCTCCTTCGTATCACGCATAATATCCAAGTAAGGCATACCGGGCTTGACCATCACCATATCAGCACCTTCTTGAACATCACGATCCTAAAAGAACAAGAAAACGTCAGTATAATGTCACTCCATGATGAGACTAAAACCGCAACACTAGCTGCCTTTGCCAGACGTGCAGAAGTGAGTACATGTAGTCTCTGATACAGACAATGGTACTACTGTACTACTGTACTACTACTGTACTACTGTACTACTGTACTACTGTACTACTGTACTACTGTACTACTGTACTACTGTACTACTGTACTACTGTACTACTGTACTACTGTAGCGGACATGGAAATCCAGTCGATAGGCCTTATGCACATTGTACAGATGCACGAAATCCCGTATAATCTTGTAGAATCCCGTAGACCCGGTTGGGTGTTGAATGTGCAGGACCCTATTGTGTTTACTGCTATTTCCACTATGAAATGGGCCATGAAGGCATTTCATACGAAATCTTTTTCCGGCAGAGATCTAGCTAGTCGTTAGTTCAATCCCAAAGTGAAGAAGGCTTGAAAAGTGATCGTTTGCCATGAATTGTGAGGCTAAATGGGTCAAACGCGCATGTATAGCACACAATGAACACCCAACCGGGTATGTACACACCTACGGCCATAGTACAGAACTTCGTACATCTGTACAATGTGCATAAGGACTATTGACCGGGGCCGGCGCCCTCAGTGCGCACTGAACGCTGCGTGCAGTGCACATGTTGATCCGATGCGACCAGCGCGCCGCAGCGCAGTGCATGTGTGTACCACTTATCCACGGCCGCATGGCCAGCGACCTGGGGCCGCTAGACGTCACGTGCGACCGGATTTCCATGTCCACAACAGTACATGTACAGTGGATACGGGCAAGTACACATCAAGCCTGGATACGGGCAAGTACACATCAAGCCCAAACAAGACCATGGATGGACTACATAGCAGTATAGCTATGTCCTCAGTACAAGCAGGAGCAGGAGGAGGAGGAGGAGGCAGTTGCTGAAAGCAGGGAGCTACTTCCTGTGACTGCAAACCACTCGCTAGCACACTTAGACACAATGAGAAGTGTGTACATGCCTAGTACATTCAACGCAACGCAAGTGCCAATAAGGGATGAACTCACCACGGCACGCTTGGCCAAGCCGCGTGCACCGACTGGCAGCTGATAGCAACGACGATCGCCAAACGCTGGAGCTGATTTGGCTGCATCACGGAACGGACCATAGAACTGGGAGGCAAACTTTGCACTGTAGCTGAGCACGGCTACCTGCAATGCAAGAAATGACCAAAAGAAAAGAAGAAAAGCTGTGTTAACCATGGAGGGAGGCACAACCACACTGGTATACAATGCAACTTACGTAACAGACACACACTGACACTGGATAACTGCACAGCATACAGTAGACATACAGTATGCATGCAAGTACACACCAACACCAACACAGTAATCAGGCATGGGTTATGAAAGCCAGAATAGTACATCCAACACTGCATTGTAGTGGTACCTAACAGTCATTTTCCACACGCTGTGTTGGTGTGCCAGCTGTCTCAACTACGCTGTTCAGCAAGACGACCACAGTCAACCGGCAATACCGTAAAGTACCGTGGATCCGCGCACCATCCCCAATTTATGTCTGTGGGTAAACAAATGTGCACCATCCAGCGCGCCAAGTGTGATGTTTCGCGTTGTTGTAGATTGCACTGCACTTGGCAGCCTTCATCTACAGTCGTCCCTCTCTAATCCAGCACTTTATAATCCAGCACCCTCGATAAACCAGCACAATTTTCAGTAGCCAAAATGTCCTCTTCATGCACATTGCAGCAGTAAATCAGATTTGTTAATCCAGCACCCTCCCTAATCCAGCAGGTTTCCGTGGCACAAATGGTGCCGGATTATAGAGGGACCACTGTACCAGGTAATTTCCCCCACATGCCAATAATCCGGCAGGGAAGCGACATAGCGGGGGGGGTCAACGGTATTTTAGGGTTCATACACAGTGTATCATCATTTGCGAACCAGCAGTTAGAACACACTGAAAGGCCTTCCCTTGAGCATAGCCTGGAAAGAACTCATGGGTGACATTAAAGATAAATAGCAGAGTGTAATGGGACTTACACCAGCCAGCTTGTTTTCCTGCAACTTCTGCTTTATAGCTCCTATTCTGTTGTCCATCATATCAGAGGGAGCAATAACTTGACAGCCTAGCAGTAGGAACAAATGGCATTCAAAAGTGAGTACAATTAAATAAAAGCAAGAAGGCAAAGGCAAGGCAAGCATCATACCACAAAGATAGTACCGTGTCTTCTGAGTCGACACCAAACTTCTATTTATCAGATATAGGCCAGAAGTCCTCCCTGCTGCCCAAACAAAAAGCCAGTCTCTCGAAGCTTCTACATTCATCACTGGTCTGCAGTAGTGAGAACATGGTCCAACTCCATCCTACCCATGTCCCATCAACTGTGAATTATAATACAACCACTCACCAGCTTCGGCATATGCTAACGCAACTTCAGCAAGCCGGGCAATGCTGGCTTCATTATCAATACGAAAATCTGCAGTAACCAAGGACATAAACGTGTTACAAAACTCTGGTAGTGATAGTGAGCGGTGCTTGATCAAGTGTACAGTGGAGGTATGTGATAACCTTCCAAGTGTACAATGGAGGTGTGTGGTAGTCTTCCAAGTGTATATTGGAGGTATGTGACAGTCTTGGATACAAAATAGAAGAATAGTCGAGCACAGTACTATGAACTATGTACAAAAACAATCCATATACCATGATTATACCTTCTGGGCCTGAGCCGGTCCGCTCCAATATACCTACAGGTAGAAACAAGAGGAGAGAATAGCGAGAGAGAGGTAGATGTAAAGAGAGAGAGAGAGAGAGAGAGAGAGAGAGAGAGAGAGAGAGAGAGAGAGAGAGAGAGAGAGAGAGAGAGAGAGAGAGAGAGAGAGAGAGAGAGAGAGAGAGAGAGAGAGAGAGAGAGAGAGAGAGAGAGAGAGAGAGAGAGAGAGATCATCTCACATGCTTCCAAACAGATGGATCACAACACATCCAGAAGCTTAGTACCCCAGAGCTGAAGGAGCAACATGCAGCCAAAAGGAAGTAGGCATGGTGAATGGAAAACGCATAACCTGTGCTGGGAGTACTGTTGTGGTTTGCAATCAGCAACCACTGACTCACAATCTGTATTGTATCTAGTCCTCACTCCGAACTGTCAGCCGTGTGGCTTCAGTTAATCTGTGCATGTGGTTCGTTAGTTTTCTGTAACAATCAATCCAGCATGCACTGAATCCCGCACACTGAATCCGGTATACACTGTCCAGCGTTTGCTGTTGTGTTCAAGATTCTCCATCCTGACCTTGCTGATTTATCTCTTGTATTTTCTCGTAAATATAGTCAGTTGGGTGCTCAGTGGTATTGAGAATAGACTGCAGTTTTGTGTGCACTCAAAGAACCTAACAAATACTGTAGAACGGGTAATTTTAGCGACGTAAAAACCCTAGCGAATTTAGCGATCGATTCATTTTCGCTAAAGTTTCAAGTCGCTAATCCGTTGAGACATTAGTCATTACACTGGTGATCAGTGAGTACAATGCAGTACTACATCATAGTACATGTAGTAGTAGTAGTACTACCGGTAGCAGCACAGTCTACACCAGACTACAGTCTACATGGTCTACAGTTGCACAGTGACACTAGACACCAGACACCAGACACTAGACACCAGACACCAGACACTAGACACCAGACACCAGACACTAGACACTAGACACTAGACACCCTTAGCAAACAACGGTAACGCTATTTTTTACGGTACTCGTACCTTGATCACCCAGATAGCGTTGAAGCTGCAGCGTAAAAACGTTATGGGGGCTGATTTATCGTTGTGACCAACGGTACGTGTTTTGGCCAAATATAGCATAATTCCGTACGCATTTCACCTTGTATCGCGTATATGGTGACATAAATGGGTGTACCCCGCGAAATAAATGCTATTCTCGTGGCAACAGCGTACTAAAAATAGCGTGCATCTTGCTAAAGGTCGAACCCAAATCACGGTATGTTCCCCCTTACGGCAATACCGTTACAACATAACGTTTTTTGCTAAGGGTGTCTAGTGTGAACTCACAACAACATCCACACGACGTGCCAAATACTAGTACTAGTATTCGTAGTAAATAAATACTGGTATAGTCAAATCATCCGAATGCAAATCGCTAAAATAAAACGTCGCTAACCGGTTGACAATGGGAAAACGCTAAAATTAATAGTCGCTAGAATTACCCGTTCTACAGTAGAAGCTTCCAGTAGGCCTATGATCTTAATAAAGGGCCATCAAAAAGCTTATTTTCCTAATATTTTGTTCCTTTTTTTAAGTCCTCACAGACCCAAACATAACAGCTCAAAAGATGTATGCAATTTTTTTGTATTTCCTAACTTTCCACAGCAGGATATCCCTACAAACCTGCCTGTGCTATCTCACAGCATACACAGCATAGTCGGAGAGTACATGTACTAGTGCTATCTCACAGCATAGTCGGAGTATCTCACAGCATAGTCGGAGAGTACATGTACTAGCAAGCGGAGTACTTCAGGTCACTCACCGCAATGTCCATGGTCAGTATATGGGCAAAGGCACACATCGCATGCTACCAGCAGGCTGGGAAATTCCTTACGCAGCAGCTGAGTGGCTTGAATGGCAGGGCCATTGCGATCATCAGCAGCCGATCCTCTGCCATCCTATGCAAAAAGAGAGAAGGCGAGAGGCTATTCACCACAGCATTCAAATCATGCTTAGAAGTAAAACAGAAGACAATTAATTAAGCATCCTCTGCCTAGAGTGATCATTCAACACAAGCCCCACACAAGCCCCACTCTCTGCTGAAATGACCCATGTAACTACCGTAAAAATACAATTTTTGCAAGTGAGAGCTTTCATAAGAAGCCAAGTTGTGATCGTCTACCCCTATCCAGTGATACTCCTGACGGCAATGACTGGATGTTGCTAGGATTGCTATTGTACCCAGTGCAGTGACACTTTAGTACAGCGTACCTCCAGAGGTCAGAAAAATCTGTAATCCCAAAGTATTATTATTATTATTATTTGCATTTTCGCGTCATCGTCAATCAAATGATTGATGATTTCGCTTATGCTGAGTGGTGGTAAACAGAAATCAAATATGGAAGATGCTGATGTCAAGGCAGAAAACAACATGAAGGACGGAAAAAAGAGTAAAATACTGAGGGAGTTGATAATCATAATGACAATGGTATTATGGTATTCGGGTAATATAAGATGGTATTTGGATGTGTGATGATATTATATTTCCAGTTGATATTGAGTTACACATTATTTTGGTTGTTGTCGTGATCGGCTTTTAGACAAAAAGGGAGAGAGAAAGCGAGAGAGAGAGAGAAACATAGGGAGATGAGCAAATTAAGGAGATATATCCGGTTGATTTGACGTTGCACTGTCGGGCTAATATGGGATTACAAGTACATTGATTTGTAACTAGTTGGATGAACATATCCCAAAGTACTGTACTGTATAGCCGAGTACTCTATAATCTTCCAACGAAAAAGGAATGGAATAGGACAATGCAGGGTCGTGTAAAGTATTTGGAAAGAAAAAGATCAAGGAACTACTGAAGTACAAGTTACGCTATTGTCCACTAACACCACCTGTTACTGGACAATCAGCTCATTCGATAATATTGCACGACACTGACCAATGGTACTGATGTTCTACTGGTGGTGTTAGTGGACAGTATAGCCTAGCTTGTAGCCCCCTGGTCCTTTTTCTTTCCTTTAAATTCTTCCTTGGCTCTCCATCCCAGTCATCCGTGTAAAGTAGTACTTTTTTATCCCATAAAATATTCATAAGTTTGAGAGAAAGTTGAAAGTGGGAAAAGTCTGAAGAACAAATTGACGGTCACCACCAGGACTCGAACCAGGGACCCGCCTCGCTTAAGGCCAGTGATGCTCTATCACTAAGCTATGATGTAGTCGTCATCACAATAGAATATTCATAAGGTTGTGGGAGTGGAAACAGGATAAGCCTGAAGAAAACATTGATTGCAACGACCATGGCTTGAACCAGGGACCTTCGCTTATTGCCAGGGACGCTGTACCACCAAGCTTTGGTGTTTCATCCAATAATTTGTTACATCCAGAGTATTTTATACTGAACGGGTCCACTGTACCTTCTCAATATTCATAGGAACACCAAACAACAAGACCGATTTCAGGCCTTTCTCCACGAGTGGCCGGATCCCATCAGCCAGTCTGTTGATGCCATATCTGCAACACAATAAAACATTCAGTCCGTCTGGTGCAGCCAGGGTCCACAGCTCTTTATTGCATGTATGTGTGGACTTATGGTTGACTCATAAGGCGGAAAAGACATACCTGGCGATATGGCGGTAAATACACGACTGCCCCAAAACGCTTTCCAAAGCTGCAAAGTTACAGTCTGCCACAGAGCTCTCCTTCTCACCACCACCATAAGTACAGCTGCAGTGGAGTCTTCAATTTCATTATCATGTGTGGACTAGCTGTGTTTGCATCCGAGTATGGCACGACCAACTACATAGCTTTGTCTTAAATTAACTGGCTGAAATTGAATCTTCATTTCCATAAGAAAATGTGAGGACGAAAAGGGGAGATGGAAGAAAAGTTAGGACCCATAACCATGAGAGTACTGAAAACACACCCCTCGCCGAGGACAGCAGCAAAGGATTGTGCAACTATCATAGTAGTCACTATAATTAGGCCGCGAACATGAACATACCGATACTGGCCTGGGAGACTTCCAATTTCCTCCTTGCCATCCACGTCATCTCTGCAGGCACAGACAAAAAAGGCACATGCCCCCCCCCCCCCCCCATGAACACGCATACAAGCATGTGTGCACGCACACACACACATGCACGCACATACACACACACACACACGCACACACGCAAACCTGTTTCAAACAACACATTGCATGCCCGTACACACCGGTCAAAGCAACTACCGGTAGCAACTATGTTCGAGTCATGAGCACACACACACGCACACACATACGCACACACGCAAACCTGTTTCAAACAACACATTGCATGCCCGTACACACAGGTCAAAGCAACTAGCAACTACTGTAAATATACAAAATTTCGGCGCTGCAAAATTTCGGCAGTTCACGATTTTTGACATTTCGGCGGCGATTTATTTTCGGCGTGGGGTAGAGGGCATATATAGTGCGACAGATGCTGTGAAAAATTTCATCGGCGTTTTAATTTAGGCGTTTTAGGTCGGTGCCGAATATAGCCGAAATTAAATAGCTGCCGAAAATTTGTATATTTACAGTATGTTCGCGTCATGAGCTTGCTGGGGTATCCGCAAGGCGGTACAGGGGGATGATACCACCCACAATGTACCGGTATATTATACTTTTGTACTTTTCACGGATTGTTTGGGGAAAATGTGTATTATAATTATGATGATGACATACCCCGTTGTTCTTGGATGTAAATAGTAAAACAATAAGGCTTCTTATAATAATATTATTTCTATTTCCGACTTTAAATAGAAGCATAGAATGCATGGTCAGATTTAACTAAGTTACTCAGTCTCGCGTATCACATACGTCACAAAGATTGGATACATCAGATTATCTGCGCTGACAGTCGTCCCGGATGCCTGCCAACGACGCAGCACAGCGTGACCGTAACCTGAATGTAGAGCCATTGCCAGCAGAATTTAAATGCTACAGTTCCTTGAAACTATCTGCACAATGCAATAGACAGTAGGCGTTCACAACAAGTTATTTGTCAGTTAGAATTATTCTACATGTACTTCAAAGCTACTACATGTACGTCGACGTCTTTACAATGTAGCTTTATTCAATGAGCAAATACTTGAAATACAGTAGCTAGTAGTACGTGACTTTTTGTTTGGGAATTACCAATATTATTCAAAATAAAAACATCTCCTCGATGTCACGCGTGCCGCACGTGTGTAGACTGCAGGGAGTCGTCACATGACGACTCCCCGGACCTGGTACCGGTAGTCTGTAGTGCGGAGAGATCATACCATGATGCATGCATGTCAACGTCCATGGTACTCTATACTACAGTTGTAGTCTACTAGATGTACGCCAGGGAGTCGTATGACTTGTTTGAGTACGACTCCCGATCCATGATGTACGCTGATCGAGTACAACACCGCGTGCACCGGTACGGTACGCGGTCCGGTAGTATTCCGGTACGCGGTGCCAGGTCGCGACGTCGAGGCGCTAGCTAGGCAGGTGCGCTTCTTGATCTTGTCCATGGAAGACACAAAACGTCACGAGGCCGAGGTCACATGTACCATGTCCATGATGTACAAGACGTACCGGAGCCGGACTTACTGTTGTACTGTTGAGTGTTGTACAGAGCTAGCATGCAGTTAGTTTTGATTTTGAACATTATTAAAATAATGTTCAAAATTTCCTATTTTCAAGAGTAATACCAAGAGTAGATAAACAAGAGTGTGCAACTCCGGATCTCTCCTGCACAATCTGCAGATACCGCGCGCCCACGGCGGAATTTTTTGTTTACGTCACCTTTTTTCAGAGAAACGCGGCTTTGCCGCAGAGCAGTGTGAGAGCACGTGCTGGGCACCGACCTTGTAGTGTAAAGCCCAGCCAAGTGCACGAGGGAAAACTCTCCAAAAGGCTCGCAGCGCGTGCGTCGTCGAAAAGATTACGTCAACAAAAAATTCCGCCGTGGGCCAATCCATCCGGAGTTGCACACTCTTGTTTATCTACTCTTGGTAATACTGTAATACAGAATTAGTTAGTTATCCCCAGTGTATGGACTCTTGCTATTTTGGTACTGAGCTCCCTTGTTTTGAACTTGGAAGTACTAGTAATCACGTACTAGTAGTTAGCTGAATCAGACATGCCAGCAGCTGACAAAGATTTACTTGATCATCCTTGGGCAATGTAGCTTTTCTTGGGCCTTAGTGCACACATCTCTACTTCTCTTGGAATACCAATATTTGCTTCTTCCAGCGTTTTGATCTGACCACACCTGCCTAAGCTCCTCTCGTTCCGTCTGTCGGGAATGGCGTCTCGAAATTCTCGTAACGACGCCTGGGTATTGGACCAAGGCAGGGAAAGGTGAATAATAATGGCCTGTGATAAGTTTTGAATTCAGTAGCATTTTGTGGATCTGCCAAAGGGTCAGAAGAGTGCAGTTAAAGAGCGTACCCACACTCTGTGAAAAACCATTTTGACTGTGTCAGTGTACAGACTTGTACAACGCCTGCCTCGAGTACAAGGACCAGCTTGATTTTGACATTAAATTTTGATAATAAACCTGGGCCTTGCGCTTACATACCTAAACAGTATTTAGTTTGACTACGTGCCTGATAATAAAAGTCTGGCCCTTACATTCATGGACAAAAAGGAAGGACAACATGTGAGTTATGACCAACTGTCTACCAATGTAACCAGATCATATACCGTAATGTCGCGTATAAAAGCAGGTGCTTACAGCCGTATAAGCCAGGGTTCAAACCATGCTTCTATTCAAGTTGTGCTTCTATTCAAAACTGAAGCCGATTTTTCGAAGCGCAGTCAGCCAGTGGTAAAGTGATACGGTCCCCCGACACAACAACACACAACAACAACAAAAATCAAGTCTTTGAATTTGATAAGGATCCATGCATCTTCCGCGTTTCTGCCTTGTAGGCTTCATCAGCGATAAGGATGGAATGTGATAGAAAGACTTGTGCTTTTATAAAGACTTAGATTCTATAGGCATAGTGTATGTTTTGGCGGTTTGTGCTCTGGAATGCAGTTAGCACAAACGTCTTGGAGCTACATGTGCTGTAAAAAGGTTGTACAGGGTGAACCTGAACCTAGGGTCATAGTATAGATCAAAGGTGTTACATACAGTCAAGATAAGCCTAGTTCACATTCGACGGGGCGCGATGGGACGCGACGTAAGGATCGACGGGAAGCGACGGGACAGTCTGACGGCGTCCAATGTGAACACCAGGAACGGGAACGCAACCATACTGCCGTACGGATCGGGAAGAGTTGGATCGATCCAACTTTTCATACCGTAGACGGGCGTAGACGGGGACGCAAGCGTACAAAACAGCTGCATTTTGAGTGTGAACAGGAGACGGCGTCATGCGCCGACTACTCCCGATTCGTACTTGGAAATTTTTAGCATTTCGAATATTGCGCTTCCCATGATAACTGGCAGAATGGCTAACACGACTTGAGTTGAACTTTAGCAAGATAAGGTCTGATGTCACTTCTGGTATTTAGGGATAGTTCAGGAGCATGACAGACAAACTGTTTTATCATTTCCTGGAGCTATTATTTGGATGGCACACCTTTCAAAGCTACTTTTTTTGGTGTTCATGAAAAACTGGTATTGTGAACTTGACTCCGCTTCATTCAAGAAGAAATAATTGAAAAGAAGTCCCAAAAACAAGAAATCAGGTCCACAAGTCACCCTGTCACGGACCGTGCCTTATGACTGGCGCCGTTCGCTGTTGAACGACGCAACGACTGCAGCATGTCGTGTCGTACGAATCGTACAAGATTTTACAGCTCACCCCAGCCTTTCCGACAGGCCCTTACGTCCCGTATCGTCAGCGTTCCGTCGAATGTGAACTAGGCTATAAAGAACATGTACTTTGAAGTAGAACATAGAATCTAAGAGCGGAAAATGTGGAGGGAAATAAGTTTTGGTGGAACCAGAAATTTCTGGTTCCCACCTAAAAAACAAAGGTGCGTGGATCCTTATCAAATTCAAAGATTTGACTTTTGTTGTTGTGTGTTGCTGTGTTGGGGGACCGTATCACTTTACAGCCGTGACACAGAAACACGATTTGAATAGAAGCCGCACTTCTGTTCAAACCGCATGCAAATACATGTACTTGCACAGTCCAGTACATGCTTGACAGTATGCACTGTACAGACTGTTAGTTTAGACTGATGATGTTGATGGAGAAGCATAGTTTGAACAGAAGCATGGTTTGAACCCCGGCTTATACGGCCGCAAGCACCTGCTTTTATACGCGACATTACGGTACATGTATTGAAGTATCGGAGTAGGCCTAATACTCCAATACTATACGATGTCTTGAATCTTGATTTATATAATTATTTTGAATTATTTCCTTAACTGGATGTTCACTAGCGTTTACTAATTACAAAGTCTGCACAAGTCTGCACATGGCTGTTGCTACTTGCATCTCATCAGTACATGCTTCACATCTCATTCTATTTTCTGGTCTAGGCACTTGTCCAGTGACAATGATAGTGTATGTGGAGCAAACAGTGACTCAGAAACCGCACCACTGCTACAACGGCGTGATGTAGATCATGCACGCCGTTGGAAGTCCATCCGGGTTATGTACATCACTATGTTTATCGGCAGTGTCGGTAAGCAGCACTCTGTTGTCGTTGGGAAAAAGTGTTAACGCGCAATAAGCTGCGTATCCACTTGTGGCGAATCAAGTAATTATGACCCTTGTTCTCACCATAAGGATTAAGGTGTTACTGCACTGGTATGCAGCTCTTGCCTCCATGCTATTTTAGTCTTTGAGGTAGGGTCATACTGACATCGATGAGAGTCATGTGCGTGCTCCCTGTTCAATCATACTATTTCATTCAAATGTTCAAGTGTTTCGAGCCGATAGCTGCCTTAGGCGTTTGGAATTATCATACTCAGTGGGTATTTGATTGATTTAGAGCTTGTTGAACATGCACAGTCATGTAGAATGGGTGAGAATCTAATCACCTCCAGAACTAATGCTCTAATTTACGTGTGCAACCTTGCTCATTCACATATCGGGATATGGCAAGCAAACATGCACTACCGGTAATTCAGTGTAGGAGGCTAGGAGCACATTGTATTCACATTCTCCCGACTAACTTTTGTCAATTTGTATTTCATGTGTACATCGAATGCTTCCCCTCTTTACGCTAACAACCATTAGCCACCTTTTCAGCTACCATTCTGATAATTGAATTCAACACATAGACGTGTGCTAGTAGATAATACTTTTAAAAAAGTACTCCGGTGTCATTTCCACTGTATTGATGTATGTACCGTATTTCCTCGATTAATAGACCCGGTCTTTTGTTTTTTTGAAGAGGGTTAGACCCCCCGGTCTCTTATTTGGGCATGCTCCATTATTTGAGCACGGTCCACTTTATTTTCATCGGCACATCGCTGGAAATGGTGGATTTTTAACACGTCATATAGAAGTTCTATATTATGACTTGTTAAAAATCCACCATTTCCAGCGATGTGCCGATGAAAATATAGTGGACCGTGCTCAAATAATGAAAGAAAGCACTAGCCACTACAAAAATTGTAGTTGCGCAACCTAAAATCGCGTCCTTTTTTGATCCACCACGTGCTTTCTTAGTGCGCATGCGCAAAGCGATGAACTCAAATAAGAGACCGGGTCTCTTATTCGGGCATGGTCTACTATTTTTCCGTGAGGCCTCTAGGTGGGTCTACTATTTGAGCATGGTCTATTATTCGAGCATGGTCCATTAATCGAGGAAATACGGTATATGAATCCATCAACCCCATCCGCTCTCAAAAATGACATGGTTGCATCTGACAGACTGTGCAGAGACGTAATTTTTGATCTAAGTGCGGGTGTTCCAATACTACTTTGACATTTTGATGAATGCAGAGTATTGCCTAGCACCCATTGTCCGTGTGTGTGCATGTGTGTGTGCGTGCGTGCGTGCGTGCGTGCGTGTGTGTGTGTGTGTGTGTGTATTTCACCAGTTGTGTCAGATTACCAACAACTAAATTGAGGTCTTTGTTATCATTTTCTGCAGGTTTCTCCATCATCTTGTCATCTGTTTGGCCATATCTTCAGCAGGTATTATCTTGCATCTGATTGGGGTTTTTTGTCAGACCCAACGTTGTGTTACCTGTTGATTTCACTCATGCCTGATGTGTGTGCGTGTGTGTGTGTGTGTGTACTGTACATGTACTATGCACTGAGTGGCTACTGGTACTGGTGGCAGTGCAGCAGCTGCTGCTGCTGCTGGATTGTGAAATAACGTTAATCCAAGCTTGTTGCATCCGATGCTGCACAATGCTCTTGGTAGTGCAGTTGATGTGCAGGTGGTATGTGCATGAGTGCACTCCTATCCATCATGTAGTATGTACTTGAAGTACAAGTACAAGTAGCTGCAACTGCAATCTACCATACAGTGCTTGGGATCTTGTCTTCTTATGTAGTGCACACATTTCTAGTTGTTGATTTCTAGTAGATATCGAGAATACCTGTACATGTAACCAAAGTGTCCGAAATTTGAGCATGTGTCAATGTGGTTTTTGTAAAGTGGCTGTGTGGAGATAAGCTTAAAGGGGAAGTGCATTGATTTTTCGAGTAGGGTCCAGAAGAAAGACAATTTGATATCGGTTCGAATGGCATATCTCTCGCTTCCATACGATAAGCCAAACTTGCCAAATCGCCAATTGTATACTCACGTTGCCATGGCGACCAGCGCAGTGATGACGTACGAAAGGCTTAGCTCCACCACAGAGAAGGTCGATTCACTGCAGAAATTGGTCATTTTCAATTGGTTTATTGTATTCACGAAGTGAAAGAAGCGCTGTGTTCAGTGGTGTTAGTGCAGTGAACCGTTTATTAGTAGTCCTCTCGGTTGTGAACTGGGACGTGACACCGACAGGAGAAAGCTGGAGTGCGAAAACATCAGCAGACAAGCGAAAATAGTGACGAACAAAATGCTGAAATCTTGGTTGGGACAAATCAGACGTTCAGCATTTCCCCCAACCAAGGACCGTGCCGTTTGCTCTTTCAACTTCCTGAAGATGGATGTGATGCTTCCTGGTCACTCTCTTATCTCTCGTAACATCTTCTGAAGCCAGGTGAGACGACGGGTGGTGGAGGTTGACGAATGAAATAATGTCGTAGGTTTGAAAGTTCGCTGAAAATGTCTCAGGAGAGATGGCGAATACCAAGCATCTTCTCCTAGAGGGACCACTTCCCAGGCACAGTCAGCCTAGGGAAATGTAGGAGAAGGCCGATAAACAGTTCACGGCACTAACAGCATTGAACACAGCGCTTCTTTCACATCGTGAATACAATAAGACAATTGAAAATGACCAATTTGTGCATGGATCGACCATCTCTGTGGTGGAGCTAAGCCTTTCGTACGTCATCACTGCGCTGGTCGCTATGGCAACGTGAGTATACAATTGGCGACTTGGCAAGTTTGGCTTATCGTATGGAAGCGAGAGATATGCCATTCGAACCGACATCAAATTGTCTTTCTTCTGGACCCTACTCGAAAAATCGATGCACTTCCCCTTTAACCCTTTGTGTACGGACTGTACAACTTTCGATCCCCTGGGATCGAAACTTTTCAAAATTTCAATCGATCGTAACTCAGTCATTCCTGGGTTATATCCGAAAACTAAAATATGTAGGTCAAAGAGAAAACTCCCAGCTGTCCATTGAAACAATCGCTGAAGCGCTCTGATGTGTGGTTACAGAGTTACGAAGCTCGAAAGTCGAATCGGGGCAAATGTCGCTAAATAGCCGCTCGCGCAAATTTGAATGAGGGATTTCCCCATCATTCTGGGCATGCAGTGACGTAGAAACACGTTCAAAATGGTAAACGGACTCATGGCAGTTTGTGACATTTTTTAGAAGTAACAGTTAGTCGTTACAAGCAAGGAGAGCGAAATGGCTGATGCAAGACGACTTCTGTCGGAATATTGGCGTTGCAGCTAAGACGCTGGGCTGTAGCGCTGGTGTTTTGACCTTCGTGGTGGCAAGCGTGGGCTCAATGTGTTCCTCTTGCGACGAGCTTTCCAGGAAGCCCAAGATTGAAAAAATCGTCAAAAGGAGACTTACAGTTATGACCCGGGGAATTATAGAATTTGAGGTGAGTCGAGATCAAATTCAGCCTGTGTACAATTTTTCAGTACATAAAGGGTTAAGACCTGAAAAATTGCACTGCAGCCCAAAGTACGCACGTATAGTTCACGTCTGCGTTCCAACCGGCTTATACATGAACAAATGTGTTTCTAACTTATTTCGAAGTAGAAACACAACCAGCTTAGGAATTTTCGCAAGTTCATTGAATGTCACAATACAACAAAGAACAGAAGTGTGTTCAACCATAGTGAGTTGAATCATCAGTGGCATATTATGTGTGTGTGTGTGTGTGTGTGTGTGTGTGTGTGTGTGTGTGTGTGTGTGGTGTGTGTGTGTGTGTGTGTGTGTATGTGTGTGTCTGTGTTTTGCTAGGTGGATAAATGTGTAACGGCCTCGTTTCTAGGTTACGTGGTGGCTGCTTACTCTGTGGGCCAGCTGATTGCCTCACCACTGTTCGGGTTTTGGGCTAACCGGCAGAAGTCCAGCCTTACTCCTATCCTTGTGTCGCTGGTCATCAACTTTCTGGGCAGTATGATGTATGGATTCTCAGGTGCTCTGACAGCGCATGATTCTACGAATGGTATCTTCATGCTTGTCTCAAGATTTTTTATCGGTGTTGGTGCGGGTAAGTAGCTTCTTGTGACAATCTGCGTTTAACCCCCTCGAAGACCATTACTGATTCCATGTATGCCCAAGAGGTCTTGAGCTGAGGTATGCAGCAGCCAGATTGCGCAGATTTTTTTAATGATAATTTCTTTTGCCTATCATGGAATTCCTTCATGTCAAACCTCTTGTAAAGCTACAGATCTCCTCTTTCCTAATACAGTAGGTATCGGTTATAGCGTGGGTGTTTGAAAAACGACATTTGATTCTTATTGCCGATATTTCTTACACACGATAAATCACGTGTGACATATCATATGCACGTGTGACGAATCATTATGCGCGCACGTTTGGCATGTGGACACGTCCACATGATACACACGGATCAATGAGACTCGCGGTCGTGCTAGGCGACTGCGGAGCAGCGGATACGAGAGAGAAGTCGGAAGAAAGAGTCCGACTGGACAGAAAAAGTGATTCTCCAATGCTCCCTTAAACATAACTCTCTTTTTGTGTTGACTATTATTGTATTGAGTATGCACAGAGCACAGATGTTATTACTACAGGCGATATACTTTGCACTAATCTGGCGTATTTTGCTACACAAAATCCATTCTTAGGGCCGATATATTCTACTATGTGATAATACTGCTTGTAAGAATAAATATACACATAAAATATGTGTTATGATTATGAAAAAATGAGTGTTCATTCTTGTAAGCAGTGTATTCTTGTATACGACCACACTATAACCGATACGCACTGTAGCACTATCAGACTCTTAGCAGCAGTAACAGAGTCACCATCATGCCTTTTTGAAACTGCTCCATTGCAGCAGAACTAGAAATTGCACCTGCATTGACTACAAGTTGTAATTTCATCAATTCTGAAGTTTTACTCTCTGTAGAATGATGATTCAAAGTTCTGCAGATTCCTAGTTTGGTGTCCACTTTGCATGCACCATGCAGCTATGAGTCGTAGGGGGAATCCCCTTTTGAGTTAGCACTGCCCGTGGCCATGCATTCTGCACGCAAAATTGTCAATAATTTCAAGCGTGTCCACGTTTATATTTGTGGCGCTTCGTAAAGACGTCGCAAGTACAGTGTATGTGATGCCTGCCTGGTAGACTAACTGTAGTGTAGGGCAGAGAGTCTTCGACACTTGCACTTTTTGGTACCCAGCACAGGCAATTATCTATGATTGTATGAGCTGGGTACGGAGTAGGCACAAGAGCCAGGTCTTTTGTTCATGTACAAGCAATACCTGTCTGCCAAGCATGGCACTTTTGAAGTATAACCATGCCATAATACTTCAAAGTACAGTGTCATTACTCAACAGAAGTATTGTATTATCTCTGTCTTAGCATGTATCTACAATTCATATTCATCTGGTTGATTTGTATTCTACAATAATATTGTGCTGAGTTTTTCCCACCCTGAAGAAGGTACTAGTAGATTGTCACAATACTTGTACAATTCCCTGGTGTAGATATCTCCATGTACATATACATGTCATTTGCTCTCTGTGCAGGCTCAGTGTCTGTGGTGAGAGCATACGTATCAGCTGCCACCACTATGGAGGAGCGCACTGCCGCCATGGCTAACATCAGTGCAGCTCAGTCATTGGGTTTTATCCTAGGGCCAGGTATGAATTAACTTACATGACATCAGTGTGTTGTTTACCATCATAACTATTACTTACATGACATCAGTGTGTTGTTTACCATCATAACTTACATGACATCAGTGTGTTGTTTACCATCATAACTTACATGACATCAGTGTGTTGTTTACCATCATAACTTACATGACATCAGTGTGTTGTTTACCATCATAACTTACATGACATCAGTGTGTTGTTTACCATCATAACTTACATGACATCAGTGTGTTGTTTACCATCATAACTTACATGACATCAGTGTGTTGTTTACCATCATAACTTACATGACATCAGTGTGTTGTTTACCATCATAACTTACATGACATCAGTGTGTTGTTTACCATCATCTACATGTACTATTTGTACATGTATCGTATTTTGTGAGGTTACAACTGCACCGGTGTATAAGCGATGCGCTTTTTAAATGCCCCTCTAAAACATTTTAAAATGTACTCAAAAGTGAATATCAGGATAGAGCTGCAGGGCAGATTACTGGCGAATTTTTGAGAAATTTAAGTGAGGCCTTGCCTCTGGATAATACAGCATGCTTTATGCAGTACTGTCCAGCTGTGTTGAATTGCAACCACATTGCTTGCTATCCATCTATGTTGAGATGCTGTGTGTGTGTGTGCGTGTGTGCGTGCGTCCGTGTGTGTGCGTGTGTGTGTGTTTGCGTGTGTGCGTGCGTCCGTGTGTGTGCGTGTGTGTGTGTGTGCGTGTGTGTGCGTGCGTGCATGCATGCATGCGTACGTGCATGCATGCATGAGTATGTGCATGCATGCGTACGTGCATGCATGCGTATGTGTGCATCTCATTCTTGGTTGCCTTTGTAGGTTTGGCAGCTGCTTTCCGACCAATTGGTGAAACGGGTGTCACGTGGAAAGTCTTGCGCCTACAGTTAAATATGTACACGTTACCTTCATTCTTGGGTGCTTTCCTTGCGCTGATCAACATCGGTGTATTGCTCATGTGGTTCACTGAGTGCACCATGGCGTTTGAGCCAAGTATTAGCATCCAAGACAAGGTAACTCGCTCCATTCAGGTGAATGCTGATGGAGAAGAGAGCACGGGCAAGCAGCAATCTCTCTGTTCTTGTTTTCGCACTGGTGATCAAGGTGATCGAGGTACGTGGTCAGTACTGTATTTCCACGTAGACACGTACATCCACCACCCCCACCCCTCTATTCATGCAGTTTGAATAGAACTGAGTAAGCGGATCAGTTGAATTGAGTCACAGGATCAGCTATTGTTCGTTTGGCACATGAATGTAGTTTGATTTCATTGACGGAGAGAGAATTGATTCAATTTATTCACCTTCTCTCGTCTCCCTAACACAGCACCATTTTGTCTGGCTCTTTTCTTTTTGTCTGCCCTATATGTTTGTAAATTAGGTTCAAGCAGCACAGGGATCGACAATACTGCTTCACTTATTTGTATCGTTCTCTTTTTCGTCGTCCTCTTCATCTTCTCAGTATTTGAAACGTAAGGGTGGTAAACGCCAAACTTCATTCGCATGCTTTAAAATAATAATAATAACAACACTATTTCGTAATAATAACAACAGCTCGCGTATAACCCGATTAATCGAGGTTCACGCATCTGTCAACAACATCTAACCAAACAACTGTGTCCGTTGCCAGAGATAGACACAGTCGGCGAGAGAGGTTCCCAGCGGCTTGAGGTCGTCACGGATCACATTGATCCAGCGCTTTCGGGGGCGACCGCGGGGACGCTTGATTCTAGATGTGTCAAGGGCCAATTTCAGGGCTGCGTAGGAGGCCGCTCCAGGACCCTGCCGTACAACATGGCCCAGCCATAACAGCTGACGGCGTTTGCATACTGTGCTGATGGGTGCTTGGTTAATGTGTGTATCACCATGTGTTACTTGTTCAGGATTCTCAGTCCCTTGTCGATGGATGAGTTTGGCTGGAGTGGTGAGCAGGCCACACTCTACAATGGTATAGTGCTGCTTTCATCTGGTGTTGTGGCCGTTGCTACCTTCATGGTTGTCAAGATTCTCTCGAAAAGGTAAGTACTCTGCACTCAACACGCCATGATCTTCCTAGTCTTCTCTTTGGTATTCCGTGGTGATAGTGTTTATACTCGCTTAAAACAAAATACATCCATACCTCAGTTCTCTGGACACCAAAGTTACGGGTGTTTCAGGCATGTTGGCCATGAGTAGCATTCCGGGGGGGGGGGGGGGGGGGGCTAAATGGTGTACATGTATTGCAAATGCACTGCGCAAATGCGGCATGTTACTGTAATCGCCTGAAACCCAACACTGAACAGGCACAGCTTCCACAGTGCTCAATACCACAATAGGCAGAGCGCTTCCTCTGCTCACACAATGCTTTAACAGCACAGAAGAGGAGACACAGTTTCATTACACAGAAGGTAGAACGAGATGTTGCTTGCAACTCAGGCTTCATGCTATGTGATCCTCACGCAAATATTTCAGAACCTTCAGCTGCTTGGTCCAGGAGGACAAAATGATACTCTTCTCCAATGGAAAATGGGCATGATTCTCAGGTCAAGTCATGTTGGCTTTATGCCGTAGAAGAAGTCGCAACGCTGACTGCAACAGACAGTGTACTCGTAACCCTACACGTGCATGTGATGGCTGGAAATCAACAAACCACAGGATGCATGTTATCTTGTGAACGTATCACATTTTCTTGTCGGGCTTAGGGCCGGGTTCCACTGCTGCTCCGCGACAAGTCCCAAAGCTGCGGCTTGCAGTGGAGCAGCATGGTTTCACTGACACTCGACATTCGCGGTACCACGGTCGTGCTCGACATTTTTTTGATTATGTATTACCTGCCTGCCTGCACGCGCACGAAATCGAAAAATGTCCTCGTGTTCTGGCCTCCGCAACGAATACAAATTTGAATTTTAAAATTCCCACGTCTACAGCACTGCAAACTTGCAAAGTACAGGAAATAGGACCGAGCCGCGAGCGTGGTGAGCAGTTTTGATCAAGCCGCGACTTGAAAGCTGGTGGTGAACCGCGGCCTCGCTGCACCAACTCAAGCCGTGGTTGCTATGGTAATTGATGACGTTGCATCTCGCACTTGACATAACCCGGAGCAGCGGAGCCGCAGTGGAAACCGACCCTTAGCCATCCGGGAACAGAATTCACAGTGTAATTGAAGTAGGACCTCCGTCTCGCACAGATCTTGGATTGTGAGTGCATGATTACAAGGTATGCTGCAGGCAAGTTACATGAAGGTAGCAGCACGCCATGCCCTGGCCAATGTGGCAATGAACACAGTTGCACACACACACGCACGCACGCACGCACACACACACACACACACACACACACACACACACACACACTCTCTCTTGGTTATGGATTCTTGACAGTATGTACTGCACTTTATTTCTGGATCTTTCTTCCAGACATATGTACAGTATAGACTTACTTCAGTGTTCTTTTGCTCATCGCCTCATGCATCGTTGTTTTGCTCTTCTTCTTTGTCAGGTATGATGAGCGCAACATTTTCATCTGCGGCATGATTATCTGTTCACTGGCGTTTGTTCTGTATATTCCGTTCAACCATGGACGACCTCCACTCAACTATGGTAAGTAGCAGTTTGGCATTCTCCTTTCCAGGCTCATGGTGTCATGGAATTGAATTCCCAATCCATACTTACATACATCGTAGGTTGGGATACGTCCATATCTGTATGAACAGTCACTCTTTCATCCGCACTACAATGCTTGAGCAAAATGGTACGGAAAATCGACGAGGATCGATCAGCTGAGTAGAAACACGGCTGGCATGATAAGCACAGGCTGAGCAATGAATATCTTTGTAGCAAAGCGCGTGCATGCCATTTGCGATGGTTACGTGTAGCAACGCCAAGAGTAAATACAGTAAAGCCTGTCACAGCAGCAACCACTCGGATAAGGCGACCACCTGTCCTAGAAGACCACTGAAACCAGCACCAAGGAATGCTATTTCCAGTCAAATGACCCTGGATAAGGAGACCACCTGGTAACAGAGACCAGGTTTTGAAGGTCCCTTGAGCGGTCGTCTTAGACAGGTTTCACTGTAAGCTGGGAGCTTATCTACTCTTGGTAGCACAAAATCACTTTGTCAGTACACATTGCACATGTTTTGCACTAAACAAATCCAGCCACTGGCTGCTGCTGCTGGTCATGCATGGTACCGTTTGGTACGTGTAGCAAGAAATGAGGTGTAATTTGGGCCTGAGGCTGGAATTGCAGGAACATACATACATGTTCTGAGTGTGAAGCAAGTTGCGTTGTACTGTCATCAAGCTCAGTCTACTGTGGCTACTGTGGCTAGTACTGTGGCTAGTACTGTGGCTAGTACTGGTAGTTCTGATCTGGCTGTAGTGTACACTGTACAGTACTACACTCACACACTTTCACTGTAACGTTAGGTGAACGTGAAACAAGCAATGCTCGTCACCACAAGATTCCATGTTTCTTGTTCTTGTTCTTGTGGTGGCGGTGGTGGTGGGTATGGGTATACTCGTTGTGGTGGTGGAGTGCAGGTAATGGCACCTTGACACATGCAAGTATGCTTTCTGTAAGCAGTAATGGCGATAGTGAGGATGCTGATGCGAGGATCGGTTCTGATTATTCAGATATCTCCAGTAGTCGGTAAGTAATGCAGTGTGTGTGTGTGTGTGTGTGTGTGTGTGTGTGCACGAGCACGTTTGTGTGTGTATGTTTGTGTCTGTGCCTGAAGAAGTGAAGAGACGGGAATGGTGGAACTTCTGAATGTTCAGAGCGTTAAATTCGCCCTATGTATACATACATGTACTGAAGTAAAGCACAGACATGTATAGGCGCACATGCCTGCAGGCGATATTGACACGGGATGCATTGACATGCTGAGCTCTGCACTCCGGAGCAAACACCAAAAGCTTACTGGTGGAGTTGTGTGTTGTCAGAACTTCCGGCTTCACGAGCGTCCCAGGATGTCCAGAACACATGCCTGTATGTCCCGAGCAAGAAATGGCAGCATGGGCTGGTCTGACTGGTACTTGGTCACTGGTCAGCAACGGTGTGATGTCCTTGGCAACAGTTAGAAACACATTGACACAGACCAAGAACAGAGGACAAGCACACAATGACGCGATGGCGGAGAAGGACTTGTTCTCGGGATCCGGTAGCTTCTTGGCATGCACAGCAGCAGCAGGATAGACACCTGAAGCAAACACTCTGCAACTGGAACATTCTCTGTCCACCTGGAGTGGTACATACAGGAACCTGTGAGTGCGCACGCATGCACACACACTGTGACACAGCCAAACAAAAACAGCGAATGGCAATGCAGTTTAAAGCCAGGCACGAATAACATGACCATTGGCGTCCAGAAAACAGTAATAGTATCATTCATAGCCACGGAACAATAGAAGTGTGACAGCACCCACACACTGGAGCAAAGCCAAAGGACAAGTTTACAAATTTACTGAAACAAAGACAGCGATTCTCCGTATTCTCAGTTAATTAAAGTTTGGTACCTGGTTTTGCAGAAGTTCCATCCAAACAGGTTGGACCCAGTGAGCCGAGTGAAATCATCACACCTTGCTGGAGAGTCCTTAAACAGCCAATACAGTGATGTGAAAGCATGCTCAATATCCCATGTGGTCTCAGCTATACCGGCGCGAAGAACATTGTGGATAGTGTGCAAGCCACAGCTTCCTGCATTGAACAACTTGCGATCCGCATCAGCTGTCAGGCGGTCATTCAATAGGTCGAACACTTTCCAGTTCACGCTGGGATCATCCATAGGTACTTGAAGTAACCCACTCAAGCCCAGGGAATGACAGCTGTCAAGTAGCTCCTCCACCAAGGTCTCCGCCCGTGTGTGACCGAGAAACTAATTATTTGGATGTGAAATAACGGATCGAGACGCGATCCACATTCCAAATACTAACCAGGACGTTCAGCTGTTTCATCTTCTTTACCTAGTTCAGGCTTTCTTTACCTAGTTCAGGCTTTCTTTACCTAGTTGAGGTTTTCGTCGAATAGGACTACACAGTCATTCACGTTTGGCAGCAGCAGCGACTCGAAACACGGTGCGAGCCCGAACGTCGACAGGTAGTTGCATTTCCGTTCGCCGCACGAAAACTTAGCAGCCATGCCGCTGTCGGGAAGCATCTTCTGAAGAAGAGCTGCTGACTTGTCGCTGGACTTGAACGATTGGTGCTTGGTGACGACGTTCATAGCCCTGTAAATCTCCGCAGAGAGTTTTTGCTGAGTTGTAACACCGTCGCAGTTGCGGAGGTCCGGCGTAGCAGCAGAAGACTTAAATTAACCCAGGGTGCAGGAGAACGAGACGGTAGCAAAAAGTTTGCAATGGATAGACCAGATCAAAGCTTCGCTCGCTCCGCATGCGTCTTGCTGGCCATATGGCTGACCAACACAGCATCTCCCATGGAGTCCAGCTTGATATCCTTGCTGCAGGGTTTGCAGGGTGCCTTGTGCCGATTGGTCAGCATGGGGGGCAATCCAAGAGCGATGTTTCTCTTGGTTTAGCCGTTTATCCGAGAAGGCACAACCAGGCATGATGCCTACAGCAAATTTACACTATATCGTAAACGCACAACTACTACTACTACTTTCACTACAACTACAAGACACGAGCGACAACTCGACTTGTCAAGCACACTGCAAAACAGAAAACCTAGTACTGTAACTTACCGACAACTGTTATCATGGCATGCTGTCCAGACTTCAAAGAATCAAAGTCGAGCGTGAGCGGCAGGCCCAACTTCGACCAACGAAAAACACCGTTTTCATGTGATTATCATCAGAAATCGTCATCACACTAAAAGTTGGACTACAAAGGAAATACCGTACAGTGTAGCACACGCCTTCATTTAATAGTGCTATTTTTATTTTAGGATATCAGTGTTTCTCGTATTAGTTTTAGATGCAATGCTTTTTCCACCGTATGGTACCGTCAAGAGTATAACCCCCCAAGAGTGTGCAACTCGGCGAAAACTCACATCGCGTGGCTCAGATACGTGCGTACTACGTACAAACGAAGGATAGCGTGCGCACAATCCGTATTTCTGCCATGATCATGCTGGGGATTTGCATACCCGCAGTGAGTTTCTTTCAGAGAGTGCTTTTTTATTACTCCGCTGCTCGCTAAAAACGGGCTGGAAACGTACATCTGCGACACTGCACCACGTGATGTGAGTTTTCGCCGTCGGCGTACCCCATAGAAAAGGTATCAGGAGTTGCACACTCTTGGGGGCTTATATACTCTTGGTACTGTATAATATTTCCTTTGTAGTCCAACTTTTAGTGTTTTGAGTTTGTTCATTTGCGATAAAAAATGTTTGAACTTCGAAATTGTAGCTCGATTCACACCTAGGAAATAGTAGAAATTCACTGGCTGAAAAAAACATCTGTCGTGTTGCACTAGGCTTAACTGTAGTGGACAACTACTATCTGCAAATAATAAAATGATACCCGCGCTAATGTCATGAAACAAAGTAGCAATGGTTTGGTTCCAGAACGTTTCTTGTCACACTCACCAATGGAATCTCGTGACGGGAAGAAAATAGATGACCAACAGTAGGATATATACACTTGAGTTGAAGGTTATTGTGTGCAAAACTAGCAAATACAAGTAGGTACGTGGCTAATATCCACAAGGCTGCGTTCATCAGGGAAGTACGAAGGATGGTATTAGTGCATACAGATGCTGTAGTTATGTGTAACGTGTATGTGAAAATGCATTGGTAAGATGGGTGACTGTGAATTACAGAAACCTCTTTTTCCTTATATTAAAAGCAAGGACTCGTCAGAGTCAAGCAGGACACATCGTGTCCAAGTTCAGCGAAATGCGAGAAGCACTCTATCCCCGAATAGTTACATGGTCGTTGAGTGAGTGGACATGTGGGTGCCCGCGATCCCGTGAGAGGGGGGGGGGGGGGGTGATAACTGGAAACTAATGGTTGTGTGTTCTTTGCTGCTGCTGCTGCTGCTGCTGCTGTTCATACCTGCCTGATGACATTGTTACTGTGGCATTCACTCTGCTACAATCATCTACCGTGCTTCAGGTCAGTGGCCTGGACCGGCATTCGTGCTTCCGACATGCTGCCATACGTTGCCACTACTAGGCACCACTATTCCGAACAACCCGAGCAGGATGAAGACTTGTGGCAAGGAGCAGATGACGAGGCTACTCTCGATGTTGCATCATCAGCCTCTGCGACAAAGTGCAGCAATAGCAACATGACCAACGTGACCTCTGCAGGCGGTTGTCCCGTGGTCAAGTATCCGTGGTGCCTGGATTCGTATCATTTGAATTTCTATCAATTCCTCGGTGGTGGTCTCCTGATGGCTGTTGGATATCCCACATGCGCTGTCATGTGTTACGCTATCTTCTCTAAGATCCTTGGCCCATTCCCTCAGGTGAGTGCAAAATAACTACTCATTCCGGAATGGAGTGTAAGCTAGTTTCAGCAACTGTCCTTTTAGACACAAACCTAATTGGTGTGATGGCATAATAGTGACCTCTACCATGTCTACGGTACACGTACATCCTGCTCTGTGTGATTGATTTGTTGACAGTAGAGTAGACAGTAGTAACCTATACTTTGTATATAGCAAAGTGGCAGCATGACTAGTACAAACTACCCAGTGCACACACACACACACAGTGTTATCTAACAAGTTACAGCACACACACACACACACACACACACACACACACACACACACACACACACACACACACACACACACACACACACACACACACAATTGTACTTTTACTTGTACTTTTTGCTCACTGCCAAAACTGGTCACGTGGGTCTCCCCGGGAGAGGGGAGAGAGACTCAAAAGGAATCTTGGAAAGATGACTCAACTGGCTATTGAACCGTCCAACGGCCGACACCCCCTGAACTCCCCAAAACTCTGCGTGGACTTGAAAATGATCCCACTTATGGGCTCACCACACCTCAGTAAGTGGGTGAGGACAAGGTGCAGAAAAAGGATTGACGGCATCAGGGTATCCGTCCCGGGATCCAACTGCGGGTACCCCTGCCCCCAGTGAAGGTAATACTTGCTACTAGTGTGGGTGGCTAAATCAGAGTGGATCTGATTCAAGCTTCACTAGCACCATGATGACACAAGAGTTAATCTAGCCAGAAGTAGTCCATGGTTAACAGGTATGTATACTTCGAATAGAAAGTATATGAACCCTGAAACCAACAAAGGTGGTAATTACAACATAATCATTACACCTTCAAGCAGCCGAGCCCGTTGGCAACAGACCCAACACTATCCGGCATAAGCGTAGATCTACCCACCAACCGAACTAGCTGGCACACACACACACACATACACACACACACACACACACACACACACACACACACACACACACACACACACACACATACACACACACACACACACACATACACACACCCACACACACACACACACCATGTACCATGTATACGCCTGTCGCAAGAGAAGCACGCAAATCTGCAAATGCACTGGATGTGCACCCACAGATTTTCTCTTATAGGCACGATAGCGAACAAGATCTGAATGAGACAGATCAAGACTTGCGCCAGGTAACTGTCTAATCCACACAACTGGCGAAGCCATGTGAATCGACCACCAATGCACACCTGGTCTACACCACACGGCGTACATCGGCATAAAACGGCCCAGACAGTTACCTATGTACACCCTACACGTGCTGGGGTAACCAGTATAGACAGCACGCTGCTTTGATAGAAGCAGACACTAGATGCATTGGTACTTTGAAGTGAAATTACACACACACGCACGCGCGCGCACGCACGCACGCATGCATGCACGCATGGCAGGGATTAGCAGAATACATCTGGCACTGTGATTGAGGTATGTTTGACCATGGAGTACTAGTACAACGTACCTGCCAGTACATGTACTAGATGTTGGTGGTGCCTCCATCTGCAACGTTGCTTCTCCATTGTTACCGTGCCAGTCTGCAAGGTTAGCGCTGGGATTACAAGTACTGTGTTCTCCTGCTGCTGCTGTTGCTGCTGCTGCTGCTGTTGCTGCTGGTGCCTCCGTTGCTGCTGCTGCCTCCGTTGCTGCTGCTGCTGCTATGTTGGTACAGGGCACAATGATGGGCTGGTTAACAGCTGCAGGTAGTGCTGCACGTGCCTTTGGTCCCATGATCGTCAGTAATGTATACACAGCAGCAGGACCTCGGATAGCATTCGCCTGCACCTCCTGCTTTGTCCTACTAGCAATTGGCATTCTATTGCTGTCTTACAAGCGGCTAGTTCCGTACCGTCCTCCTCGTGTTCGCTCATGAAACTGACCATTGTCTGTAGTATCCTGAATAACATTGTATCCATGGCGTCATTCCCTGCTGCTCTAGCATATGCTCAGAGTATGGATAGTATGATGGTGATGCTGCCATGACTTGACGGAATGTTACTGCCTGACTTCCCCTCCGAGCCAGACAGTACATACCATTTCAGTTTAGTATACCTGTTCGTCTGCTATTTCCATTTGGATCTGTAAGAGAATATCTGTAAGAGAATATCATGATGGGAGGTGGTGACTGTGGTAGTGCTGTGTACTCTTCTGTACCAAGCCTGTCAGGCATGTCCTTAACGCAGCAATCCCGTGTGTTTGTGCCCTGAATCAGTAGAGCAGTGTGACACACCCCGCTCACCTACTGCACGTCTGTTACGCTGACATGGGCTGCTATTCCCGCCTGAGTGACATCGGCTGCTATTCCCGCCTGAGTGACATGGGCTGCTATTCCCGCCTGAGTGACATCGGCTGCTATTCCCGCCTGACTGACATGGGCTGCTATTCCCGCCTGAGTGACATGGGCTGCTATTCCCGCCTGAGTGACATGGGCTGCTATTCCCGCCTGAGTGACATGGGCTGCTATTCCCGCTATTCCCGCCTGAGTGTCTTGAGTGTCACCATGTATCTGCCTGTATGGTGCTAGCAGTTAGGCTCCTTCAGTCCTTGTGCTTCTGCTTTGTCATTAGCTGTGCTCGTTGCCAGATTGTTTATGTGTAGCGCCCTGCGGGCCGTGCATAGGATTCTTTCTGTGCAAAGTGTTGATTCCAATGAACAAAGCACTAGCGTGTATAGCCATATATCTGACATTAGTATTTATCAATGTACGTCATGAAATTTCTTTTTATAGACACCGTATAAAAATCATATACATGTACATTGTACATGTGCTTATAATGTTATTGTTATGAAACTTTCATCTACACGCACTACACACACTACACGTACTACACATGCCGCTAACCCTGCGGTTTACATTGAGCCTGTAAGTTTGTGGACGTTATAATTATCATGACTTCTTCCGTAGCGTGTGTCATCCGATCTTCTCATACTTGTACTTGACTGTGAAATGATACTTTTGATATGTCTTTTGAATTTTTTTCTTGACTCTATTTTTCATTTATCCTATTATTACTATATTTAGGGTAATAATGACATGGCAGTGAGAAAGCAACTGATGCCAGAAACGCTCAGGGATCTTTTCACTTCTGCTAGGACTTTCCCATTCCACAAACTAGTAGTGCTGAATTCTTTCTGTTGTCTTTTTTTTAAAAGCACGTTTTCCAGGCATTTATGTGTGGTGTGTGTGTGTGGTGTGTGTGTGTGGTGTGTGTGTGTGGTGTGTGTGTGTGTGTGTGTGTGTGTGTGTGTGTGTGTGTGTGTGTGTGTGTGTGTGTGTGTGTGTGTGTGTGTGTGTGTGTGTGTGTGTGATGATGATGATGATGCGCAGAAGCTCGTCTGGATGTGCGGGCTCGCGGCTTTTGGTCGTGGCAACAGGACGCTTACTTTGATGTGCGGATCACTCATCCCGCAGCGTCTGTGTTGTCTCGATCACAAGCCCTGAGTCAGCTGAAGTCTCACGAGCGAAACAAGAAAAATCAATACGCCAGCCGTGTGGTTAACGTGGAGCGCGGCTCCTTCACGCCACTTGTGTTCTCGACGTATGGCTTTAGTGGCCCAGAAACTACTCAATTCCTGAAATCATTGGCCTCCCTGTTTGTTGAGCGCCATACTGAACTGAAGTACCCACTAGTAATGGGCATACTACGCACCCGTTTGTCTTTCTGCTTGCTGCGATGGGCAGTCACCTGCTTCCGCGGTTGCCGCGGTTCGTACGGCAAGAGGCGACAGCCGAACTCATTTCTGGCCCAGTGCCGCCAGGCGGAGTAGGGTGCTGCCTTTGGCCTCAACTTAATATAATGCTATTTTGGTTTTTTCCCCTTTTATTACTCTGTGTTCATTGCTTGTTTTTGTATTGATTTACTTCCTTGACTGCTTTTGTGTTTCATCATTTTCCGGTTGGTTTTGTGTTGATTTCCCCTGTTCACTTTACATATTATTGTAATGATATACATTTGCTTTGCCCGTAAAAGAGGCTTTTCTCATGATGATGATGATGATGATGATGATGATGATGATTATTATTTTTTTTTTTTTTTTTTTTTTTTTGATGATGAAGCCACTTCTTTGGGCAAACAAAACACAATGGACCGTATGCGTGTTAAAACAAAATGGCGTCACGATTTATTGAAAGTGGTATAGTTGGTGGTACGAGTGTTCAAAACCATTTGAACTTCATACTGTTCGTCTTCTTTTTGACATGCTCTCTTTCCATCGTCCTTAGCTTTTGTTTGTTGAGAGCTGTTTTGGCTTTCTCCTATACCTCTGGGGGATGCCAAGTGATGGTTTTGAGAGACTGGTGATGGCTGTGAGCGAGAGTTTGCCGATCGGCGTCGTCCTCGCTATAGCGATGAAAATACTAGTTACTGCGCACCTGGCAGATATCAGAACACGTCGGAGCGTCCAGGAGCAAAGGAATCTTGGGTTTTCACTGGAATCTAGTTCCTCCAGCATCGTGTAGCCCGCAGTCGGTGAATGGTGGTCCAGAAAGGTCGAACCTGGTCTTCTGCAGCATCTCGCAGTCGTGCAAGGCACACTGAATACGCCTGTCATGTATTCTACAAATAAAAATCACGAAGTAGTGGACTTTACAGTGATGAGTCTATCCTGTATGCTGCAAAAGACGCAGGAAATGTGACTGGTGTCCGTACACTGGACGCCAATATCATCCCAGTCTTCTCCTGCAGGATCTGTTTGACATTGACATACCGGTATGCAGTGGGTCGACATTGGCCTGGTTTGGCAGCTATCTGCCTGGGTGGATGTAGCAGGTTTGCATTGGCGCGTCGTCCAGTCCGACATTTTCTTGTAACTGGGGAGTACCGGCAGGGTTTGAGAGGTTGCTCGTGCTGTGAACACATCTCTACTGCCTGTCTCGTCCTGGAAGTGCCGTCTCGCCGCTTCCTTGCTCTACAGTCACGCCGTTATTTCGCTTTGTTTCGTGGTGCAGCTCAAAACCTGCCCAAACAACTGTGAGCTCGCAACATGGTATGGACAAATTGCACCACTCGTGCTAGTTAACTAAAACCGGGATAGTCAAGTAAGCGAGTTCACTCCCTGGGCCATGGCAAGATCTGTTCAGCGCGGGCTATTCCAACCTCCAAGTGCATAGTCACCGATCGATCCATGCGATGGTGGTTGACCTACAAAGAGCCAAGGTCTACGAGTACTACTATTGGATGCTGTCTACATGCAGTCAACAAAATCAAAGTACCTCAGTATGCCCCAGAATAGGGCATGTGCATCTATAACATGACACAACAGGGGTTCTGGCGGCACCTGTCAAACAAGCAGTAGCGACTAGTGCCAGCTACCTATTGGAGGCTAGCCGCTACAGTCTGTCACTGGAGATAATTATTATGTTCACTGTTTAGACTGAGCACAATCAATGATGCCCAATCAATCTACCCAATGTGTGTTCTGTTCCACCTAATTATAACGTCCCATCGCATCAACCCTACTACACGCACATGTCGTCACTCTAGCACGACTTGTGTTATTATTGTTTATTTTGATTCGCACGATAAATAGAGCACAATAAACGTTAACTTGACCGAAGGTTAAAGGTGACTGCAGATAGAGGAACACATCGAGGTACAGGTACCGGCATCAATACAGTATCAGAGAGAAACAAACAAAAATGAGAGGTACGCAGAAAAAACTCTCGTAAGCCCAAGGGGAAGTGGTTGATGAGGGATGAATGCACTCTCCACGCTCATCTACACTGTTCGTGGAAATGCACACATACATACAATAATATACAACATAGCAATAGCATGCACAGAACCGAACAATTTCATGTTCACACATGCAAGCACAGACCTGAACATTAGTACCAAAAGCCGATACAGACAATATCCCCATACACACAGACGCGCACACACACACACACACAATGTCCCATGTATGCGCCCGTGGCAAGAAAAGCACGCAAATCTACAAATGCACTGGATGTGAACCCACAGATTTTCTCTTATAGCAACAATAGCGGATCTGATTCTGAATGAAACACACACACAATACAATCATTGAATGCCCATCCGCAGATGATGACAGGTCCTGAAAGAACAGGCAGTGTTCCAGTGATGGGGAACAGAATTTCGAGTGGCGAGTGAGGTATACACACACACACACGTGCGTGCGCGGGCACACACTAAAGTATTCAGAAATAGAATCGACATCGTAGTATTCATTAGGTGGGGAATGGAAAGGAAAATAAAACATTGCTGTAGGTTATTGTTGTAAGGACACTGGGAGCACAACAGAAAGGTAAGCAACTTGCTTTGAAGCAAAGAAATTTATTATTCCACGTATCTCAGAAGGAAGGAACGTTCCAGAATGCTGCACTGGCAACAGGCGGCCTGCATGTGCGCGGCCCCTGCAGTCGGTCCAGCTGCCGGCCTTGCAGTGCTGAAAAGAATGTGCAGTACAGCATGTCACATAGTATCGCAGCCTGGACAAATAGGCGCTGGGAAGTCCTAGTTATGTGCTCACCTACACCACGATGCACCAATCTTCTGAGCTACTTTGGCCACAACTTTGTCCACTTGAGACTCCCATGGGCTGAGCCAGTTGTTGAGGGCTGCACCAAGGTGGACGACAATGACCGCTGATGGCAAGGCAATCCATGACACACAGTCACTAGGGCATCGTCAACATGGCGTTGAGGTTGGATCGATAAAATCAACCTTTAGGCTGCCGCGGGGTTGACAACGAGGCCGCTGTCTCGAAGCTAGTCAGTCAGCCTGGTCACCGCCATTGACGAACCAGTCGCCACCGCCAGCAGTGGCGGTAGGTTGTGACAAGTGTGGTGCAATATTGTCAGCAAATTCAGTACTCAGGATAAGATGAGTGACAAAGGGAACGTTGTGTTTGATAATATTGAAGTGAACAGGGATGATCACAAACCCTGCGCGTACTCCACCGTGAGTTACAAGAAAATTCCGGACTGGACGACGAGCAAACACCAACCTGCTACATCCAACCAGGCAGATACTATTACGATAGCTGCCAAACCAGGTCAATGCCGACCTACTGCATAATGTCAATGTCAAGCAGATCCTGCAGGAGAAGACTGGGGTGTTGGCGTCCAGTCACTGAGTGTACAGACACCAGTCACATTTCCTGCGTCTTTTGCAGCATACAGGATAGACTCATCACTGTAAAGTCCACTACTTCGTGATTTTTATTTGTAGAATACATGACAGGCGTATTCAGTGTGCCTCGCAGGACTGCGAGATGCTGCGGAAGACCAGGTTCGACCTTTCTGGACCGCCATTCACCGACGGTGGGCTACACGATGCTGGAGGAACTAGATTCCAGTGAACACCCAAGATTCCTTTGCTCCTGGACGCTCCGACGTGTTCTGATATCTGCCAGGTGCGCAGTAACTAGTATTTTCATCGCTATAGCGAGGACGACGCCGATCGGCAAACTCTCGCTCACAGCCATCACCAGCCTCTCAAAACCATCACTTGGCATCCCCCAGAGGTATAGGAGAAAGCCAAAACAGCTCTCAACAAACAAAAGCTAAGGACGATGGAAAGAGAGCATGTCAAAAAGAAGACGAACAGTATGAAGTTCAAATGGTTTTGAACACTCGTACCACCAACTATACCACTTTCAATAAATCGTGACGCCATTTTGTTTTAACATGAATATCGCGGATTCCCCAAGATGAAGGAGTGGAACCCTACACAAATAATAGTTTAAATGAATCCAACGCAAAGATCGTTTTTCCATGAAATACAACAATTGAACACAATTACATGCTTAAAGGGGAAGTCCGGTGAAAAATTTAAATTTCACAGTCCGTAGAGTTCGGGGCGCTGAGTCGAATGGTCTTTGTCCGAGGAGGCTGCGGCCTATGGTTCGTCAGATACGCCCAATCGAACATGTGCGGATTTGAGCGCGCCTCACCCAGATCCAGGTGATGACGTCACAGCGTGCATCCAGGTGGCCACACCATCTAGATGTGTGCAAAAACGGCCATATTCGGAGCGCGTTCGATTGGGGAACCGTTTGTCGCAGCTTCTTCGGACCAAGACCATTCGATTCAGTGTTACAAACACTACGTACCCTGTGATTTTCAGCTCGGTAAACCTCGAGGTTATACCGTATTTTAGCCGTTTCCGAGTTGGACTTTTTCCGTCGACATGCACTGGCCTCTA